GCAAAATGCTACTCATCCTTTTAAAGAATTTGAGATATGTTCCTTATAAAAAGTAATTGGCAGAGTTATGTGAAGCTGCCAAATTTCTCCTTCTAGTGACCTCTTTGACATTAGGGTGAAAATTGTTAGCTTGGAGAAACATCTTAACACACAACTTTTTCACTTCATTTGCTGTTAATGAGACTTCCTTACAAGAGCCCCTGGTGGATGCTGGTTCCAACAAATTTAAACACCACTATTTCAAAGTCTTTCCATCTGCAATCCAAGATTTCTCAGTCTCACCTTTTCTTGTGGTGGAATGGGGGACCTTCCCCCTGGTCTCCGTGGTGATGGTGTGGGTGGAGATTGGGGAGTTGGGTTCCTTGCACTGGTTGGAGTTGGCTGACTAGGTCTTGAAACACTAGATTCTGTGCTTGCCAGAGTAGGAAGCGGAGGCCTAGATACCCTTGGTGGAAAACGCTGTGGATATGATCGTGGAAAGGTGGCCTGAAACAACCTAGGAAGTTCCACTTCTTCCTGTGGGACTGGTGGGTCCATCTCATAAAATGGATGCTTGTTTACCAGCAGAGTGTCAATTTCAAACCTAGCAAAGAACAAATCTGTTGCCAGGTCTTTCAATTTGGCAACATTAGGCTCAGGTACATTTGCAGGGAAGGCAACACCATCAGAAATATCTTGCGTGTATCCCATTTGTGATAAAATATCACGACTACCAATGAGTCGACCAACATGAAGTTGGACGAGAGAACTCGTAAACTTCACATTCCGCCAGTAAGGAGGACGATTTTCCTTGATCAAATTGGAGGCATATTTTTCTAAGATGCCTAAGCCTTGTGTTAAATGAAGGAACCGAGGTTTCTCCTAAAATGGAAAAAAAAAATGCATTTTAACCACAAAACCTACAACTGGAATACTCACAGTATAATTCTATACTTACTGCATTAGCCTCAAACACTCTCCAAATATCAAGTTCAATATACTTTCTCTCAATATCCACATCCATATTCAAGACCAGTGAGCACTTCTCCAGCAGTGTCTGCAGAGAAGGATCAGTCATCTGCACAAATTCCCTTACTACATTCGCCCTGTTCATTCTCAACTGAGCTTCTTTCTGTTCTTCAGTGAGATGGTAAAATCTTGCTGCATTTTCCAGAGGAGTTTGCCTTCTTCTGACTGTTATATCTATAGTAGGTTCTTCAACATGATTGGATTGTTCTGATGGCATGTTTACAGGCCCTGAGGCAAATCAAAGATCAGAGGAACATTTATTCTTAGTGTCAATGTAAAAGAGTAAAAATAATAATAAAAGTCCAGTCATACTGGTAATTTAATTTAAAAAAAACATCTTTATCACGGGAAATATGAAGCTGTTTGAAACTCATCCCACATGAGATAAAGTGACCATGGCAATATCACAAATTGATGAAAGCATATTTCATGAATTATTACCAAAAAATTGTCAGAAACAGCAAGCATCTCTTTCATTTTAGCAAATTAATAAGCATGATTAATCTTCCGCTGAGAAAACAGAGATCCCTACATGGGTAACACGTGATAATAAAACAATCATGATTACTTAATTATTTTAAGGAGGTTATTAGAGTAGTTGGTTATGGTCAATACCAATTTATGTGAAAAGCTGAATTATACACACATTTTGGATCTTACTTATGATCTATTGGAGGACAGACAGATAGATGACTTCACCATAAACAACCTTTTCCTTTTCCAATTTAAAGAAACAAATAGATTCCATGTTTCCATGGGTCTGAACAGAAATGGATCACACAAAAGGTCCAAATGTGGTAAGAATGTCAGTGACACACTTGGCTGTGCTTTGTGTGCCACTTTTTTGTTCTTACCATGTTTTGACGTCATCTGTGATCTGTTATTGAACAGATATATGGGAACATGGAACCTTTTTTTTAACTTTGTACATACTAAATAATGAAATGCTAGAGGCTTAACAAATTTGTGGTAACTAAAATTAAAAAATAGCTAAGCAATGCCTACAAGATAAGAAGAAGTATAACACTGAAAGCTCAGAAAAATGCATGACTTGGTAAGGATATCCAGCACTTACTATGCACAAGTCTCTCCCCAGGGTTCCCACTTCTTGTCAGGGTACCATCCGGTGCATCATAAGCTAAACCAACATTCCATGGAGCAGGAGACTCAGATAGAGAAGTACCTAAGTCAACGGCTGCATTTCCATCAGAAAGGTGGTTTTGTTGTCTTGGAAAGTTCCTACTTTCCATTATCTTCAAATTTATACAGTTGTGTGAAAATTGTCTGTATTGTTAAGACAGGTCATGCAAAACTGTCTATTAATGTGATTATCAGTAAGGTAGATTTGAACTCGTGAACTTGTGATTTGAACTAATGATGTTGCCAGATTAAAAAGAGAATACTCCACAATCTTCTTCATATAGGTTCTTCATTGATCTGTCCTCAACTACAAAATAATTCCAAAAAGAGTGGTTTTTAAATTCTCTGAGCACTAATTGGTACAGACCTTAAGGTAGTAGAGATCCCAAAAACAGATTCCTTGAATTCTCTTGACTTGGGCCATTTCCTTATACGTGGAGCCAGGAGAAGAAGGAAACAGGCTATTTTCCATACATCAAAGCAAGACTTGTTTGAAGACCTGCTTCTAATGGTTTTGAGTCCTTTAACTAGTTTCTTAGTCATTCTGTCATGGAGTTATATGTTCATTTATTTGGGGAGTTTAAGGGTTGACACGAAGCAGATTTACAACACTACTCTGACATTACCTCTTCACTTCATTCTGATGATAACTCTCCCTTGGTTTGTTGAAACATCAGTTCTCAGGACAACCCTAAAACAGACAATCAGATTTCAAGACCAGATTATGCTTATGTTAAGTGTCAGCTCAACAGATAAACCAAATAAATGCAGTCCTTGGGATCTATAATCCTTCATTATATTCTGAATCTTAACTTCCTGGTTTCACTGATTACTGACTCTTAACATCCTATGCTGGAATCTACATCCTTAAAGAGCCTTTTGCACAAAATTGTAATTCCTTGTGATTATGATTAAGACTGTTGAGTAATTTGCATGAACTATGTCTAAACAACATTACAACGTAGAATAAAAGGGATGGTAAATTTTGAGCATGGTAAAGAAATACAGAATTCTGAGTCCCCATTAGGATTCAAATCTCACACCTTTGGATTCTGTGCTCCAATGCTCTACCACTGAGCCACAGAGACTCTACTGTGAGCAAGGTCTATTAGAAAGTTCATATGACACACGTCCTGCAAACTGCTTTGAGCAGCAATGTTGATAGCATTATGTTTGTTAATAGAATAAGAGAGATGCTATAAAAGTTTCTCTTATTCTACTTACAAACATGATGCTATTGACATTGCTGATCCTTGCAGTTAGCAGGATGCATGTCACATGAACTTCACAATAGACCTTGCCCGCCATAGAGTCTTGGCTCAGAAGTAGAGCATCAAAGTGTAGAATCCAAAGGTCTGAGGTTCAATTCCTATTGGTGACTCAGAATTTTTTCTTTGTCCCATGCTTGTGACAAGACAAAAAACATCTTTCTGAACATTACAACATGTTTTCAATTTGTTGGCCAAGTTTTAAGACTATAAATTGACATATTCGTTACTTAGACTAGGAACCTGAATGGCTTCAGTTGGTTTTAAGAATGAATCAAGTAAATAGACGAGTGTTTGAGTCATATATTTCCATACTGTTACACACAGTTTGAGGAAAAAGAAATCAGAGTTCAAAGTTTTCTACCACTTACATCCCAATAATTACAAGGTGGACCTCAGTGGCCATGTCTTCTGTAGTTGCTCTATCTAATTCAACATACCTCACTTTTCTTAGCACATCGACACTTGTAATTACTGTGGTCATGGAGTTACAAGGTATTCTGCATTTAATGAAAATGACTGCATTCAATTGTCATTACAAAAATTTAAGTTGTATGGTCGTGAAATACCTCACAACTGAAATATGCACTTAGAATATGCACTCATGTTGGGCTGTAACAGGTAAAATAGGGTAATTTAGTAACATCAACTGAGTTAATAATGAAAATTGGTCACTGTAAAGAGTTTAAAAGCTGACATTTCAAGCGTTAGCCCTTCATCGATTGCTTTGACGAAGGGCTAATACTTGAAATGTCAGCTTTTAAACTCTTTATTTTGGTCCATTTACGTTAGAACTCAGTTGATAATACTAAATTACTCTGCTTATACCCCACTTTTCAAGTCATGAATACATCTTATTGCAGTTGCTATGAACCAGCTGGGTGTTCAAATTCTCCTGTAATTCCATAATAGCCTTACTAAAGGCCAATAGGAATAGCTTTGCTTATAGCCAATAGAATTACTAGAATTACATAGATGTAGAAATGGAGACTGCACACAATAAACAGAAAGAGAAGCGTGGGCCAAACAGTGCATTCAGTCTTAGGTTCAATTGATTTTGCTGTTGATTTCATAATCTTGTACTGCGTACACCCACTCACTCATCCTTCTTTTGCCACCAAAGCAAAAGTACTTAAGCTACTGGTTTAAATATGCAGCAGTGTATATGTAACGTAATTGTGAAGACTTCAACAAAGTTAGTCTCGATCCGTAATTGTGACGACCAACTACGCTAGCTAAATGACAATTCTATCTCACGGTATATTTATTGGTAAAGAATTTTACCAAAAAGATTAAAAAACCTACTCACCAGCAGTTTCCCTTTTCTTTCACTATGACGATGATCCTAGAAAACACATTGTCTCATATTCCTAGAATTTGGGAAAATTCCCATACCACCTCAAAGAACGAACCAATCGGCAAGAAACATTTCGGGGAACCCCCTTTCCCGAAACCAATCGTTAACTAGCGGAAATGGTTGCGGATGAAAGCCTCCAAAAGGCCAGGTTACATCAAGCCAGCGGTCTCTTTTAATCTTCATGTAAATCAATCCAAAACCTGAGAAATTTGTTATAAGTTTTTTCCATGGAATTTTTCTCAATTTCTCCCTCGATTTTTCATTTTCTTTTGGGTATTGTGTCGTATTTGTCTTTTAACTTAACGTACAAATGGCTGAAAAATCCAGTCATTAATCAGGAACCCATCAACTTTTTGCAAATAAATGTCGTGACCACCTTAAAAGAAGGCTCAAGTTTTTGGTGCACAGGTGACAGCAAATCCAAACGAATCTGCAGATTTCGTCACCTATGTTACCAACCAGTTCAAGATGACTTCTTTTTCTTTCATGGCCCAGATACGGTGATCGATGGAGTGCCTGAAAACCGCTTCGATCCAGCACTTTTGGACTTGTCCTCTGTAGACGATCACAACACCCAGTACTTCAATTATGTCGACTATCCGGTTTCTGCATTGGATACCTTTCCTAACATCACCATCATAGATGACTTAAGCTTAATATTTAACAGATTCAATGCAGACAATATTATGCACGTTATCCATGACGATCTACTGCCTCTATTCCATACACTGGGACAGTTTTCTTGGAGTAAGCCTTCAATTGATCTTGGATATAGATTAGTTATGATGGAGGGATGGAACGAAGGGACCTATTTTGATCTCTACAAGTTATTCACAGACAAACCACCACTACTCAAAAGAGATCTTCAAAAGTCAAAGCAATTGATTTGTTTTCAGCATGGTGTTGTTGGCATCTCCAAATATACAACATGGTATCAGTATGGGTTTAAGGAACCACAGGGAGCCCTACCTCGTACTTCATTAACAGGACAATATGTGCGACAGTTTGTGATGTTTATTAAAAAGAGGTTGGGGCTAGACAGTGGATTAACACGTGCATCTGATTCTTCTTATGTTGTACTTTGTTCAAGGGAACACAACCGTTTAATAATCAATGAACTGGATTTGTCAATGGCAATTTCCAGGCATTTTGATAAACAAGTCATTCATACTAGCATGACAAAACACTCTTTTAAAGAACAGGTCCAACTTGTAAGCAGAGCCAGTGCACTTATTGGAATGCATGGCTCAATCTTGATTTTGGCAATGTTTCTACCACCCAGTGCAAAACTTATTGAATTGTTCCCATTTGGTGTCAATCCTAATCACTACACTCCTTATTGTACCTTGGCAAATTTACCAGGGATGGATATTACTTATGGTGCATGGAGAAATGAAATTGAGGAGAATACGGTAACTTACCCACATGAAGCACCAGAAGTTGGTGGAATTGTTCATCTCAGTGACGAGGAACAAGTACAAATCAGGACAGCAAAAGAAGTTCCAAGGCATCTATGCTGTAGCAACCCTTACTGGCTTTATAGAATTTATCAAGATACCATGGTTGACATAAAATCACTACTACTTGTTATGCAAACAGTAGAAAAGAAGCAAAGAATGACATCTGTAAGGCCAAAACCTGCTTATGACCATAATCTGTATCCAAGTAAAGTTATCAATGTGACTTGTCAACTTCCATCAGAGGAGTCACAGCCAGCATTGTGGTTGTCATGGAAACCACCCTTAAATTTACCTTTTATTGCTGGTAGCAATGTGAAATATGAGGTGTGGATTCAACCCAATGGACAAAATAATTATGTGGCATACATACTTGATATGACAGAGTATATATTTACCGAAAATTTGCTGAGAAACACACATTATAATGTTTGGGTCAGATGTATTGTCGATGAAAACTCCGGGCCTTTTGGTAGTGTTGCACACTGTGAGACAAACTGACTTCTGGTTGAAGCAGTTGGGATTGCAAGGCTATATATCATTTATTTTTATATATTTTGTTTACTTTGATTTATATTTTGGTGTTATGTGGCTCTTGCATTAGAACAAATGTTTGAGATATTTACCAAAAATAATGAATTTAATCAGAACAATGTTACAAAGACAAAGTACTTCATCAATTAAAACACAACATTTATGTAGGTGGGTTGAATATATGGAATTTCTGCTTTTGACAGAGCCAAGAACAGGTGCCCCAAAATTGTTACAGGAGATTAGTGTTGACCTTACCACAGTCTGATCTTTAGATCAAGATACATCTACTCTGCTGACAATTACTAAAAATTTTCAAAGCTACCACTTTGCTTAATGAAGTTCTACTTATGCAATAAATCTCATATTAAATTTTTTTATCTTTATAAGTAAGCAAACTACTGATTCATTTGCCATTTTTTGATGAACCATTATTTCTATTACCAGTATTACTAATAGATCACTATTAATTAATAGTTAACAATTATTCATCAAAATGAAGGTGATCAGTGGTGGATATTCATCAGCACTGAGGTGAATAATTGTTTTGGTATATAACTCACAGAAACTGAAAAATTAGTTTATTTCCGTTAATAAACCAAAAAAATAATCAAAACTTCAATTATTGACTTACAATTTTGACTCTTTGGCTGCTCCGAGGCAAATAGTACTTGCTAATGACCTCTGAACCAGCCAAGCAGCATGTGAAAAGCACTCTTTACCTGTGTGGTATGTACTAATATTTTTTTATCAATATTTTTCCTCTTGCTAATGTTTTACCAAGATAAACCTGTTTGATATTCTAACATAATCTTAACTCAATGCACTTCCTTAACACAAGGAAATGCGCACATATTCTAGCAAACCTAGACTCAAAAGAAATCTGATGGTTGCCTAAACTTCTCAGTTTCTTACTTACAGCACCCTGATATGGTTACCTATGCTAATGTGAATAAAAACTAATTTTTTAAAAACCTTATGCAGTATAGGTAAGGCTATTTTGTGGAAGAATACAGTTCTAGAGTAGAGTTTTTTCTTCACTTAAGCAGTGCTCTTTAACTGAATGCAGGGTAATGGGAATTCATCTTTCATCTCTATTAAGAGACAATGCACCAAGGTAAGCACAGCTGTATAAACACCAGCTGGTAAAAGTCTGTATTAGGGTATGGATTTTGAGTGCTTGTGCAATTTTAGGAAGCTGGGGTAATTTTGAATTCTTTTTAAGTCTAGAGCATTTCCATAATTAGTTCTTGCCTGAAATAGAGTCTCATTATTAAACCACATCTGAAAATGGGGCAGGTAGAACAGAGCATAATTAATCCAAGGTAATGAAAAGGTTTTGAAAATAACAAGGCAAAGTTGTGCCAACATTCTTAAGGAGTCTCCCTCCTTAGTCCCTCGTCAAATAAGGAAACCCTTGTTGAGTTCTCTGATGTGGAATGCTAGTTGCCTTTGGTTGGTAGGTGTACTGAAGGTTTCATGATTGACAGCACCATGATCAGAGCAAAGTTAATAAAAGTTGCAATGGATGCAGCTTGCTTCAGTGTAAGTGGAAACCCGTATGTCTTGGTACCCAGTTGGAACGACTTCACCAGCTTGAAAAACCTCTGCCAATCTTCTTTATCACCATGTAACTGACCAACGGACCATACGTAAGTGAGATGTTGTGAAACGTTTGAAAAAGTTCTAGTGATCTCTGCTGAGCTATACAAGAGGCGCAAGGAAAGAAGAAACCAAATGCCCGTTTTGAGCAAAGTCCACCAGTGGGAAGACGAAAAATTCGGAACGAGATGAACCATGGCTCCGACATGAATAACAAGACTGACCACAGAGAAGAAAAGAAGCATGACAATGAACGGCTGGAAAAGGCCAGCAAGGGCTTCGATGCTGTATAGGACGTGGGCGAGATATTTACTGGCATCTGCTGCCGTGATTTGTGGTCGTTTAGGTACATTTATCCTCCCCTCTACTGATTTCGAGAAGTTAACTGACTCGGTGGAAAAACTGTCAAACTCCTGAGGTGTCACTGCATCCCAGTTGCCTTCCTCAAGAATGCCAGGATCAGAGCTTACTTGAATTTCATCCAAAAATGGAACTTCCTGTTCATATACTAAAACAATGTCTTTCTTGGTCTGGAAAAAATCCATTGAAACGAATCCACTTAGGCCATTTATTGCTCTTCTTAAGAAGCCAAGCTTTCTCCAAACAGGCGTTTGGTTAGTTACCGAGGGACGATACAACAGAAATGGACTGTCTCCAAACCTGCACATAAAACTGACCACATCTCGCACTGTCAGTCGGCAGATCAGAATAAAGGAGTAGGCTAGAAATCCAGTGATGTACATAGCCATTGCCCAGAAGAAGCAATAAAGCACGTGCCAAGTCATATCGTTAATTTCGAACAGCATAAAGTTGCTGTCTTTCCAAGAACCTGGGAATTTGTCCCCTTGAAATTTCGTGCGAAAAATCGCATAAGCAGTCCAATGATAAATCTCTAGGACGAAAGGATAGATGCAATTTTTCAAGGCAGCTTTCCTCAGCCAAGATGCCCTTTGTGTCTCGTGCCACGGAATTTCCTGATCAAACTCTGGAAAGCTGGTTACCATTGATTTCCTAGACAGCTTCCTTCTCAATAACTTGTTGAAGGCTGAGGAAGTATACACGCGAAATCCAGCAATCAGTGCAATTAGGGGAACGATGAAAAGCGAAAACTCTATCCATGTATCGATAGATGACCGCACAAAGACTCCGAGAACGGAGACAAACGTCATTCCTCCGAGCAAAAAGATGAAAATAAATCCTCCGAGCCAAGAGTGAACTTTTGAATAGAGCCGTTCTCCAGGTCCAAAGAGAATAGATACGGCGACCATAGGAGATAAAGCTCTAGAATAAGAGTTTCCCGTTGAAATGGACGCGCTTGATAAACTCATTTTTAAATCTTTTGAAAAAATGAAACTGAATTGTCGGTTACCGGCTTCAAGAGTTATATTCTAAAAAATCCTAACGTGAATAAATTTCATGCTCCTTAGCGCGTATGAGCAGAATAGTGACTCTTCTCTTTTCGCTTGATACTTCACTGTCCCTTTGAAGATTTGTGATCCGAATCAAAGAGAACAGAAAGTAGGAAAACACAGCGGGTTTCGCAGGAACTATTCCCTTCGCGTGACTTAGTTTTCTTTACAACGGTTGTTTGGGTCTATTGCTCGTTCTAGTCACGCAACGCGCTTTTTAACTTCAGCACTTGACTGAATAAGGTTTTTCACACTTTGATCTGTAGTACATGAGCAACGTTGCGGTAAGAAATCTCTACCAACCCCCCAACCTTGTTCGTGGGTCCCAAAGGTCAAAAAGTATTATTGAACAAAGAATTTTAAAAATTATATCATAATTAAATAATATAATTATTTGATAATCATATACAAGCATTCGGACTGATTTTTCTCGTGATCTCTTGGCGTCATCATCAATCAATTCATCCTCCAAAACAAATACATTAAGATTCCATGTTGTCGTGGGAGAAGAGACCAAAATATGGTAAGAGCAACCGAGACACACTCGGTTGCGCGCCGTGTGCCACATTTTTTTTTAACCACACTTCGAAGTCATCTGTGATCGATAAGTAAACAGATGTACAGAGACATGAATCTGTTTGTTAAATCGACTTATTTACCTTTCCAGAGGTACGCAATTTGTTTCCTTTTTTTATCATAGAGACTCGTTGCAGCTACTTCTACATAGTATCACCTCTTTTCGCTCTGACGAAGGAATGATGCTCGAGATGTCAATTTTATAGAAACTCTTTGCGGTGACCTTTTAATATGATCAACTCAGTTGATAAACCAAATTTTCTTGTACCTCAGTGGCAGCGCTACAGTTTTTAGAAAATTACCCCCTCCTTCCTTTTTTATATAATATCCTTGGCATAAGATTATTTACCGAATCGCGAGCCTGTGGAAAACCATGAACGAATCTATATTGAAATACATACAAATTCGATTAGTGTTGACCTTTTGCAGATATCTGCACCCAGCTCTACATATTACCTTCCTTTGTTATTTCGTCATTCAGAACGATACTTAGTTCTATTCCAAGCTCCGAAACTGAATTTATTCAGGAATATATTCTCTTGTTTGGACAGTCAGAATTTTGAAAAAAACGTGGCGGATGTTTCAGTGTGTTTGATTTTTTAGGTTGTATAGCAATAGTAGGTAAAGGAATAAGGTTGCCACGGAGTATTTATGTAGATCCAATACTTCATTTATGCGTGCGCACCTTAGGAGAAATTCTCAAGTCTTACGAAGCGAGCCATCGGGTTTATTTCGTCCAGCATTCAGTGGCAGTCAATGATAATAGTTGTTGAAACTCTTTCAAAGCACACATTTGCTATCGATTAAATTATTTAGGTAAATCTCGACTCGAAAAAATTTTTATACTTATTTTTCCAACGGCAAGTTTACAATCTCTTGCCGAGAAGATGACATTTTTCACAAAGCAAGTTCTTCTGAATAAATCATATTGGGTCATATTTTAATCCGTTGTTTATTGTTTTGGGGATCTTAAATTCATTCTGATTTATTCGGTTCAATAGAAAGGCTACACTGCAGGGCCGCAACAATTGTATTTAATCTACCCAAAGATATGACATCATCCGACGTGGCTTAGATACGACCAGTGGCCTTCCCTTCCCTTATAAATAAGACATCTTCAAGCTTTTCTACAAAGGCTACGATGCTACTCTCCCCGACACACTGTCTAAAAACATCCTTAACTGTCGCTCAAATGGTTACTTTCTGAGGGGACGCGACCTTTAAACAGTACTCAGGTTCCAAACAAGATACATGACAAAAGGGGATAACTTTCTATAGAAACTGTGGTGCTGCGTCGGTGGAAGAGTATAACCGGGTAATTTAGTGTTATCAACTGAGTTGAAAACGCAAATTGGCCACCGTAAGAGTTTAAAGGCTGAAGTTTCGGGCGTTAGCCCTTTATCAGAGCGATAGGAGAAATTGTGGGTTGTGTGTGGGTTTATATGCAGAAATTGGAGCTACGTATTGGCGGGAATATGGTGACGAGAAAACAAAAATAAATTAGTCGAATGAAAAGCGCTCTTTGAAACCGTGGGGATCAAGAGTGCCGATTTGGAAGATAAATTTTTGCTGTTTAGAATGATTAGGGAGATTTAAGTGTGTATGGCCAACCTGGAACTTTCAAATGTGCCCGTTCACGATGCAAAACTTGTGCTCTCATTCATGACGTAGAGAAAATGTCGGGACCTAAGAGATCCATTAAGATCACTCACCATTTTACGTGCACCTCTGCCAATGTTATTTGCTGCTTAACTTACCTTTATTGAAAAAAGTTGAAAACATTAAATTACCAACATACATGAAAGACTCTCTTAAATATTGCGGCGCTTTGTTATGGAACTCTGTTTGCTACTATAAACAAGAAGTTGGACGCTTTAGTCTCAATAATCTGAAAAAACGCCTACTAATCAGACTACTCTAAAGAATTCAAATTTGACATACTTTCCGCTTCAACTGCTCGTCTTATACATAATGATTTTTTTTTTACGTAGAAGTTATAATATGTATTATTTTCTACTTTCAAATTCAAGTTAAATTTACATAACGTGTAATTTTCCTTTTTTCCTTCACACGACTCCACAAGCTTGAAGCTTAAAATATTATCGTGTATAAATAAAGGTCATCAAACTATCTATCTATCTATCTGTCACTCGCGCGAGTCAAAAGAGTTAGCGAAAAAAACAACTGCTGTCAGCGCCGCGCTAAACTCTGGGAGTGATGGACGCGAAAAAGAAGCTGGACTGCTCGAAGTCCAGGAAGTTAGAGGTTATACCTTCACTTTCCTTAACGGTAAACTACTGGCTACTGGCTCTAATGTGACGAAAACATTTTCTAGATCAAAGCTTACACCATCCATTTACAAAATTTCTGAATCTGCCCCTGTTTAGTAAATTATTTTACAAACATGTGCTTACATCTTTTTTTTTATACTCTTTCACTTTTGAATCGTTGAAAGAGAAAAAAACTAAACAAATTTGGTAGTAGTGATAAATATCGCACAAAGCGCGAAAAACACGTGGGATTGAATTCAGTTCACATTTGGTTTGTTGAACAGGTGATGTTGGTTTTTTTTCTTGTCTCCATACCAGCTGTTTTTTGGGATGTCACGCAACGCTTCCCTCGAGAAGATGGCTTCGTGACATGTCAAAAGACGGTTGCAGGGTTGGTTGCAGGTTGTAGGTTCCTGCCTCGCCTCTTAAGTTTTACATAAATTTCGATGATGAATCGTACATGGCGACACTAATGCCTGATAACAAGGGGGTTAGTCACCACGTGCTGGCAAGTGTACTGATGGTTTCATGATTGACAGCACAATGATCAGTGCAAAGTTGATGAAGGTTGCAATCGATGCCGCTTGCTTCAGTGTGAGAGGAAACCCGTATGTCTTGGTCCCCAAATGGAACGATTCGACCAGCTTGAAAAACCTTTGCCACTCTTCTTTATCGCCATGTAGCTGACCTACAGACCAGAGGTAATTGAGATGCTGTGAGACGTGTGATAAGCCTTTGGTAATACCAGCTGCACTCCAGAGGAGTCGGAGTGAGAGTAGAAGCCAGATGCATGTTCTCACAAATGTCCACCAATGAGACGTTTTGAAGTTTGCAATAAGGCTTACAATGGCTCCCACGTGGGTCACAAGGTTGGCCACAGAGAAGAACGATATTAGAACGATGAACGGCTGAAAAAGACCTGCCAGAGCTTCAATACTACCGATGACATTGGAAAGATACTTGCTGGCGTCTACTGGAGTAATTTGTGGTCGTTCTGGCACACTAAGCCTTCCCTGTGTTGGTCGCGTTACCTCAATCGACGCAGAAAAATTATCAAATCCCTGGGATTCCTGTGGATTCCAGTGTCCTTCTTCGAGAGTACTTTGGTCCAAAACTGGTACGTCCTTTTCATAAACTAGAACAATGTCCTTTCCAGTCTGGAAGAAATCCATGAAGAGAAATCCAAATATGCCATTTATGACCCTTCGTAATGGACTAAGGTTCTTTAAGACTAGGTTTTGTTCCTCCGAGGGCCTGTACATCAAAAATGGACTGTCACCAAACATACACATAAAGCAAACAACATCTCGGACAGCCAACCGGCTAATCAGAATGAAAGTGTAAGCTACAAACCCAGTTATGTACATAGCCATTACCCAGAAGAAACCATACAGACCTAACCAAGTCCTTGCGTCAAGTTCGAACAATTCAATATGACTCTCTGTCCAAGAACCTGCAAAATAGTCCCCTTCAAATACCGTATGGAAAATGATATAGGCAGTCCACTGATAAATTTCTAAGACGAATGGATAAATGCAGTTTTTCAAGGCAGCTTTTCTCAACCATGATTTTCTCTTTGTCTCGTGCCACGGAATGTGTTCATCAGACTCCAAGAAGCCGTTCACCATGGATTTGCCAGACAGTTTCCTCTGAAGAAGTTTGTAGAAGGCTGAGGATGTGTAAACGCGAAATCCAGCGACCAAAGCAATCAAGGGAACGATGTAAAGCGAAAACTGTATCCACGTGTCAATGGTCGTCCGAACAAACACTCCGATGACGGCCACGAAAGTCATTCCGCCGAGCAAGGAGACAAAAATGAATCCTCCAAGCCAAGAGTGTAACTTTGAGTAGAGCCTCTCTCCAGGTCCAAAGAGAGTGGATAAAGCAACCAAAGGCGACAAAGCTCGGGAATAGGAGTTCATCGTCACAATCGATGCACTCGAGAAAGCCATAGCTAGAGCTTAACCGATTTTCAGAAAACTTCCGGTCAGGGTACAAATCAAAAATTTGTAATTTAGTTACGATCAGGTGATCATTGGTAATTGATACTGACATCATGCTCTATTGGCCATTGGCTAAAAAAACCTTAAGGGTCGTATAGGTCGAGCAGCCCTGGTTATCCATTTGTCACTTCAAGCATAGTAAGAAAATAATCCCTGAGATCATTTTGTCAGATAAGAAGGATTTATGGCTGGGCATTTTAGGACGAAGTTGTTGAGACTTTGTTTTGAGTAATCAGTATGATCATGCCTTTACTTGCTCTTTTCGATGTAAAAAGAAAATATTACGGGAAAAAAAGAAGTGTCTTGCTGATTTAAGATCTCAGATGCAGAAATATCCCGTGTAAAGGTTCTTCAAGACTGAATTCTCTTTTTACGCAGCTTTCAACTTCTTTATGCGATTGAAAGCGGTCTGAAAGTCTAGATAATTCGGTTAAGATTTTGCTTTTCAAACTAAATAGGAGAAAATACAATCCACCCGATCATGTCGTGATCGGCGATTAGTATATATTCAAGATGTAAGAGAAAGGTAATCAGGAGTGGATCAGACAATGGAAAATAATGGGCATTGTATCTGATACAAAACAAGAAATCAAAACTTCAATATTTCCTTCACCTTATGAATATTGAAGAGGGGACCAAGAATAGAAACGAGCTGGGACGGTGACGTTTCCAACCTTTTAACGAGTCCTTCGGGAATCGCATCAGATCCGTACCGAATGATCAGTGCGAAAACAAGTTTGAACTCTCGAAATTTCTTGAGATCGTTCTACTCGATGTTTATCATTCCTTCTAGATACAAAGTCTTTCTTGAGCGGCAGGTTTAATGTTGAGGTCGCGTAGAAGTACATCTGCGGTTGCCGGCTCTGCCCTTTTTTAGGTAAGAAGTCATCAATATAAGCCGATGACATGATCTCAGCTGAAAGAAGACTTAATCGTTGAATAGGTCACCCATGAAATATCTACGATGTCTTGACGCTTTGATTTTCCAGAGAATGTATGACGAAAATATAGGAGATCACGGATAAAACCTACAGTGACTTAATACAAATATTTTAAATTAAGAGTTAGGGGAAAGTAAAAATTGTTCGTGTCATGTTGTTCTGGCACGTGCAGGATCAAAGGTACTTAGCGAAATCCTCAGGGAGCGAAAATGGACGCGTATCTGCTTTGTGAAGTTAACAAATTTAGAAAAATTAAGCTCCAAGTCATCTTTCAACAAAACTCAAGGTCGGTCGCTCTAAAGGGACGCTAAAGAAGATTCTAAAGTTTCGATGTCATTCCAGCAGGCCACAAGCTGTTGTCCAAGAGCGATCAGTCGTAGCTAGTATCAACTCTCAGCTGTACATGTTTAGCTATTTAAAAAGGGCGGGAAATTACTGCCAAATAAGGAAAGAGATCATTTAAATTCTTATTGTTATTGACAGCTGACGCGTAGTTGTCATGCGAACATCACTCGTCGCCTTGCTATATTAGGAGGTCGTCACATTTTCCCGCCAATTCGGGTTTTGTGCTTGCGTTTACAATTCGGGCCCTTCGCACAAAACCGAAAAATCATGGCGAGTTCTAGCGACGATGAAGAAGCGAATAGTTCAGAACGATTCGAAAATCTGTGTCGTGATCTTAACATGGATAAGGAGACGAGTCAAGAGGCATGGACTTCGTACCAGAAAATTAGCACGAATTACACTCTAGAGGTACCGTTTATGTATGCGTTCGTTACATAGTTGCTTCGAATCGTACGTACATCCCACTCAACGGTTGTCGTTTCGCGGATATCAACCGGTTCGTGATGAGATCAAGTGCGTTTTGCAAACATATTTTTCAAATTTGATAACTTTATCTTTCAGGGGGACAGTCTCCACTGGCTGGCATGTGCTTTGTACGTCGCCTGTCGTAAGAGTGTTGTTCCAACGGTCGACAGCACTGGAACTGTCGAAGGAAACTGCGTTTCTCTTACTCGATTGTTGAGGGCAGCGAAATTAAGGTAAGCTTTCAGCGTAATTTTAAATATCTATAATTATTTCAGCTTCTCTACTGACAAACAGACCTGTGATGTATTGGATTTTTGTTTCTTTACAGCCTCATTCAGTTCTTCAATAAAATGAAGAAATGGTTGGACATGTCGAATGCTGCGGGAGACTTTCGAAAGAAAATCGAATTGCTTGAAAGGAACTTTCACGTCTCGACTGTGATCTTCAAGAAATACGAGCCAATTTTTTTGGAAATCTTTAAAGATCCTAGGGAGGAAAACACAAAGACTCAACGAGGCCGAAAATCTAGGTAAAAACAGTAAGTTTTTGCGTGGCCTTCTGCGATTGTATAAACAATAACGTGACGATTTATGTGGCTTGTGAAAATGTAAGCCTATCGCGTTCGTCGCTACAGCTGAAAATCTACGAGTGTTGTTCGTTTCGTGTTTTTCATTTTCCACAATTTTTTTCCCGTGGAAATAGCTTTGTTAGCATATCAGCTGTAAACATGTGATATTCAAATGAGTAACTCGTGGCTTATTCACTGCAATAATCATTTGGAATTCTTTTATCCTCCGCGCGCAGGAAACAACCCTGTTCAGTTGGTGATGTGTTCGCTTTTTGCTGGACATTATATATTCAAGCGAAAGGTTAGTGTATTTACAGATTTGGTATACTTTCCTTCTTACTTTCAAAAGAAATTTGTTTGTTATTTTTATCTATGAAAAATGCGTACTATAATCGGGAATGATGCACAAAGGCCGGCCAGGTTCGTGTTCCGTGCCCGTTGGCGCGAAATTTTACTTGCATCATGTAGCAGAATTAAACTTAATGTTTAATTCTTCTCGCATAGACTTCGTCATTTAAACACTTACAGATAAGGGGGTGTTAAAATTACAACTTCACAGCAAGATTCCGGGCCGAGAAATATCAGGTTTGTCTTTTAGTGCATAGGCTAGCGGGTAGAAAAATCCGGTTGTTGAGAAAGTTTTTAAAATGCCATACATGTATTCCAGAAGACAAAAGATTTGGTTCTTTGTCCTTTAGCTCGCACGGGATTCCGAAATTAACTTGCTGTTATTCTCTTGGAGAATTTTGGGGGTGGTGTCTGCATCTTGTGAAATTTGAACTTAGTGTGTAATCAATATTCTCCTTTACCGCAATCTTGTGGGGTATTTTTTCTATTTTTATTGCTCACGGGCTGACTACCGTTCTGCGGAAAGGAAAGGAACATGTGTAAATGGCCTAGCTCATGATGATATGGCACAGTGATGAAAAATTGTAGAAATTATAAAAGGCTTTTTTTTCCATGGGCTTTACCCATAACAAACGTTGTTTAGAGACAGGTTTTGTTGAATTTTGACTGTTGGCAGTGAGATCAGTATAATTATGCAACATAGAAATGATGGGCAGATATTTAGAGCATGACCTCAGCCTCAAGCGCAATCTTTTATGTTTTGCTCTGAAAATTGTTTCGCTTAAGGCTAATTGCTATTAATCACAGGAAATTTGTGCACCAAACATTTTTGTACAAGGGTAAATTTGCACCAGAGCGCAACAGGGAGTTTAAACGTTTGCCTTTTCATTAGTTGCTATCTTCTGGTTCACTGAACAAGATTATTTGATTGTAATGCGAGTCTGGGATTGGGCTGTGTGGGATCATCCCACCTGACTCTTGCTGAACCAGAGTGAAGTCTGAGGCAAATTTATATGTCAGTCTTTTGTTTGTATTTGTTCATGCTTGAGCAATAAACTAAGCCATAAATTGATTGATGGATGGTTCAGAGACAGCTCAGCAGCACCAAACGTGTTCAGGCACGTTTCCAGGGGTCATACTCCAATGATTAATTGACTTTTAGTGGTTAGTCTGTTTCTAAGGAAGCTGTCACAATATTGAGGTCAGTTTGCTAAGTAGTTAAGATATGTTGCTTCATTCATGGGCATGTCTAAACTTGAATTTTGATACTGTGCATTTAAATCCTCAGCAACAAAATTGGTCTGTCAATTTGCAGCAGACATTTTGACAGAGTGTTGACAATTTGAATTAATTCCTTTGTCATGAACTTGACCTTTCAGCACAAGCAGGAATGTTTTAAACATTGTTTTCCTTATCTTAAAATTTTACTATCAAATGTTCTGTTTCGCATGTATCTTTGAATATTTCAGTCAAGTTTCTTTTATTCTATAACAGATTTGACTGAATTACATTTCACACTTAATTACTCTGCGTGAGGTTAATTTGATTTTAGCAGTATTTAAACCACAGATTTATTTGCAGTGATGTTATCCTTGTAGTATTTTGTGTCCATTTTTCAAAACTAATCAAAGGATAAAGAAGGTCTGCCAGAGAGTTAAAATCTTGTTCTTTGCTACCACTTGTTAGTCCCGTTTGTCTTACCAAAAGACAAAAGCTCAGCTGGAAACTTCCTGTGTTTTGCAACAAGTAATTTATTCTTTTATAGATTTTCTTTTTGTGTGGTTTGTATTTATGGTAATGTTACCAATTTTGCATTATTTTAAACCACTTTTAAATGTAAAAAGTACTTTTACCAATTTGATAGATGGATGAAAAAATCCTGACTATGTCTGATCGTTAGATTTGGAAATTTTGTGAAAATGTGCGAGCCTTTCTTTATCATTGTCACACAGAAGTAGTGTTCTGATCTAGATGACTGCCTTTTACATGAATAGCAGTTTTCCAAGGTCATATGCATCACTGTGTTAGGTTTTGGACTTGAATAAAGAGTAGAGTAATTGTTACAGTAAACTAGATTGAAACTGTCTTGTGGTTGATTTAAAGAATTCTCTGCTACTAAGTAGACCAATTTTCTGAATATTGCTGTAATTTTGGTACAACACAACTCAGCATGAACTGCTTTTGAATCATGTCTTTAATTTGATCTAAGATCTTAAATGAGAAGGAAATTGTATAAATCATAATATAGAAGGTAGCCACTACATTGAAGGATGCATTTCTTCGTTTTATTATGTCTCTCGGCTAAGATGTGTGTTAAGATTGGTCAATTTAGTGGGTCGTGTTGCACTGTACAGCCCACTGATTCAAAAGTTTGTTTAAACTATAATTTCCAGCTGTTATTTGAACTCAGAAATGTAATGAACATCTCACTAACTTTGTCAGTCACTGGGACCTATGGCCTGTTTGCTTCATGCTTGGAGTGTTAATTTGAGCAGAAAAAACTCAGTCAATAAGCAAGAGGTGCTGTAGTCATTTGGTTATAAGGTGCACCATTTTTTCAAGAAATTCTTAATTTCTACTAAAAATTACTGCCAAAGTATGGGTGTGTCTTATAGGCTAATATTTTCCCAAAACAATTTTTTTTTATCACAGTTACTGGTACGATTTCAAGCAAATAAAAGGACACACAGTGTTGGTCATTGACTTTTATAAATATGGTGGTTCTGAAAAGACGAGCGAAGTCAAATTTGCATAGATATGATACGTTTTAGTAATTTGATACGTCACAAATCGAAACGAAAATAAACAAGTGAAGAGATAAATACCTTTATCCATTCAGCCTTTTTTGTGCACTGAGACCTGCATTCTTGGCAGTATGTCAATTCTTGTTTAATCAAGACTTTTGTTTGTGTGTGTGGTTGCACGTGCGACAATTCTGCTTTTGTTAATTAACGGTAAACTAAAATCGATACGTGATTTTTTCGCTTTTTTTTAAGTTTATGAAAGAATTTACAATAAACTTGACTGATCTTTACTCCCCAAACAATGGTGCGCCTTATAACCAAGTATTTTAGCCATATTTTCAGTTTGAAAACATGCAATAATGAAGTTGCCAAATTAGGGGTGTGTCTTATAGCCGAGTGCACCTTATAACTGAATAAGTGATAGCAAACAGAGGTATCATGATGTAAGTGTGTTTCAGATCAATAATTCCTTTTAGTGGAGAATTGAACACAATCTTCATTAAAAAGAAAAACAAAACAAAAAAACAAGAAGTCTTCCCTTGACCCCTCAATCCTTAAGAGTGACCAGAATGTAATTTCTTTCAATATTACTGTCAAATCGAAGGATGAGATCAAAAGAATGATGGAAATGATCACCAACTAAAGAAACTCTTGATTGTTCAACAAATTCTCCTTGTCAGTAAAATGGGAAATAAAACAACAACAGTATGGAGAATATGTATACTGATGTAAGGGTGTAAAGTGTTACTGAGAGGTGTTTTTGAGTCACAAAAATATAGTTAACATTGTTGTAACTGAGTAAACACAGAATTCCTTTGAGTGACAGGGGTATTCATTTCCCTCTACCATGGTGGAACAAGAAAGTCATGACATGCCATGTATTGATCAACAGGTAATTTTCCTGCAATCAGTGATGACCTAGTGAACTCCTACCATCTGCTTTTATGTTGCCTGGATCTCCTTTTTTCAAATGCACTGTATGCAAAGAATCGCCGAGAACTACTGAATCCAAAGTTTGAAGGTACACCCTCTCAATTAACTTCTTTCAATTTAATTTCAATTCTGTATGACTTTATTTAAGTTGAAAACTATTAATGGTAGAGGAACAAGGATTGAAGTTATGTTATATTTTTTTAATCCTTTGTAAAGGACTACCTCAAGATTTTGGTAACAGAGACTTCAAAGTACCAGCTGAAGTGCCTTGTATTGTTGAAAGCTTGTGCAACAGACATCAAGGTACCATAACATTGGATTTTTTTTTTCTTGTTTATTTTACTGCAGCTTAGTATGGAATCCACACTTTTCCTATTGTAAAATACACAACAGGCCAATGGGTGGTATGTTGGATTAGGGATTATAAGTAGGAAAAGTTGAAGTCAATGTCATATGTTTTTGAGATGAGTAATCCATGCAGAAGGCCATTTCAAAGTTCTAAAAACCATCACCTTCAAAAGGAGTCTTAAGCGCAAATCTTTTGTTGTGAAAACAAGTTTTTCTTTTGATCAAAAAAAGTCATTGTAACATCAATGGCCTCATACTTACCCCTGTAGTGATGCAAAGCATATGAAAAGTAGCTTAGCCTTCCCTTTATGTTTTATGTTGGAGGTCACTTGTGCTTATGAATATAATTCATCTCCTATTAGGAATAATCTTGGAGGCAAAAGGAATTAAAGAACATCACTGGAAGCCCTTTATAAAGCAACTATTTGAAAAGAAGGTACTTATGAGATGCAGATTCAGCACAGTTGATATCCTTTTTTATGGTTTGGGCATTATGGAATGTTTATTTCCATGTTTGATCAGTTTTTTTTTTCACCCAAGAGTGTGGAATAATGTTTGCAAAATTTTACTCCAACAGATATTGAAGGGTAATGAAGAGAACCTGACAGGAATTCTGGATCAAGGCAATTTTGAATCAAATGGGTAAGGCCTGTTCAGTTATTTACTCCAGGTTTGTCACTGCCTTCTGGTTAAGGGTATCTACTTTTGGAAAATTATGAGTTTTTTTGTATGCATCTCAAGATTCATAATTGATGCCCTTTAAGTTGTGACTGTTTTTGGTGGCTATGTAGGGTAGTAGAAATCTTGAGTGGCTAAATTTGTTGTGGAAGCAAGTTTGAATGGTTTTCTCTTTTGTGTTTTTGGCTAAAGTAAACATTTGAATAATATTAAAACACTAGTTTTAATATTATTAGGTTTTTTATATTATCATACTACTAAAATACTTTGTTTTCATTTTTTTTTATAAATATTGTTTCATTTTCATTATTTTCCACATGACTAAAATTTCATTCCTGGCAGCCATTTTGAGCATTTTCATTTCCTGTTTGCAGTATAATTTATGGATATTATGTGGAGAAGATACATGTCCAGTACTTCTGGGAGTCAGCCCTTTGCACCCTAACATCAGTATTCATATTCTCCTTACTGTCCTGTAGATATTTCCTAATGTTCTGAAAAGGAGAATTTGTTTCATGATCAAGAGCTTCTCTAGTTTGTGATCATTTCCTATATCCTCTTGTCTGTACCCTGTGATTTTGGGGAGATATTGTTGGAAGAAATTAGATGTTTGTCACTCTTAGGGACTAAAGGGTTAAAGGGTGAAGTCCTGTGGCTTGTTATTTCCCTTGCTGTATTTCCACCCAGACTGATGTCTACTCTGTCAACTTTTTGAGTCCTAAATAATTGTGTCTGAAAAATGTCTTCTCCCTTGCACCAGACGTTTTGAAAAATTACAGGTTTTGATCTAATTTTCTTTTTATTTCCCAACAGTAAATCTGTCAACAAAGAGTACGAAGAGTATGTGTTGTCTGTTGGTGATTTTGATGAAAGGATCTTCTTGGATGATGAAGCTCACATTGAAATAGGAACCCCAGCCAAGTCTTACACTTTTGCTGAAGTGGATGAGCAACAAAGGTTCACTATGATTCATTATTTCTAGATGGCAAAATATTAAATTTTGAGCTGCTTAGTTCAAAGAATTCTTCTGCTGTTACAGAACATCCCACACCCTTAAAGGTACAAGCATTTACATGAATGAACAATTTCTGACTGCAATATCTCAGATGATATGTGTTGCTGAATTTTCAGTCAGCACTTTTGGAGTGTATACTTTCCTGTTGTGATTGGAATTTTTTTTAAGCTTTCACATCACAAACAATTTATTACTTCTAAAAAGATATTTTTCATTTGTAGAATGGGACTAAGAAGGAACTTACAGGAGCACTTTACAAGAGTGAGTATTTACTTCTTTCGCTTTGGTTTTCATGATAAAATTCCCTGACTAATGATTCTTTATGAAAGAAAGTTTATTAAATTTTAAAAGCACTCATCACTTGGATAAACTCTTACACATGTAGTTCATGTTAAATGAAGTCAGAGTTATTTTTGACACTGTGTTTGTTATCAGACAAGAAGCTTAGCCCCTTCAACACCACTGACTGGAAGACGTTATTTAAAGGAGAAAGACCCAAAGTAAGTTTTCCAATTATCAAAAAAATGAATAGAAGAAATAATCAGACTTTTCTCACACACTGCTTTGTTGAATTTCTCAATCTAACTAACAGTTGTTTGCCAAAGGCATAGTGAATAATGTTGAATAATCCATTTGACACAGTCAAGGGTATTATTCAACAATTTTCACTGAGCTTGAGGAGAATAGTTATTTTAGTATAATTACTTATGTACTATCAAATTCTGTTGTAAATTCCACAAGTAAAGAGAACATTGAGCTTTTTTTTTTCTGAATTGTGTCAATTATTTGTATCAAGATAAGCAAGCAGTCTTAACAAACAGTAAACCCTTTAACTTCCAGATCAAATTTGAAAATCTCCTTACTGTCAACCATGTGATTCATATTATGTTACTTCAGAGAATTTAGTATTGGATCAACTAATTATCCCAAAATTGATATTTTTCTCTATTCTCATCACTTACCTGTTTGACATTGTATTGATATTGTACAAAGAAGAAATTCTGTCTTGGTCACTCATGGGATTTAAAGGGTTCATTCAGTTAGCAAAAAAATCCCCTGGATCTCACTGGAGTGACAGAAAAATACATTTTCTGCTTATTTCTTTTACTCAGCTAGTTGGAATAAAAAATGTATGATAGAGTGTACTTGCTGTTCATTGGAACAAAGTTATCTGGGTATGGTCAATCACAATATATCAAAATGTATAGATTATGTGACTTTTTTATTTGCAGTTGTTAACATGCATTCTTTTTGTTACATAGGATAACTCCTGTTTCAACAGCAACACAATCAGTCAGTAGACTACAAGCTCTTTTGTCAGGTTTGAAGGCAGGACCAAGTGATGGCCTTCTGAAAATATTCTCGTAAGTTTGCAACTTATTGTGAAATAGTAGTTTTCCTGCAACCATAACTGCATGCAGTCTGAAAGGGATTTAACTTGCAGGCACAAGATGACACCCTGAAAAAACTCAAACCTTAAAGAAAGCTACCAGAGTGCAATAGGATGTAGACCTACTAAGTTTTATTCACAGTTTGTTAATTTTTTTTCGTCACAGGGAATGCAGCAGAAACCCTCAAGAAGCCATTGAAAGTCGTGTCAGCACACTTGGGGAGACATTCTTAAGAGAATATGTACAGGTATGAGCTACTTGGACTTGAAATTAATTTTTGTGCAATCCGGTTGCTTTAGCATACAGCAGTGAATATCATTTTGTGAGTTAATTTTCATTTGTTCTTATTGCTGCTTTTTTAAATCTTGTTACAGCCATCTCCTGATAGACCTAAGTCTCCTTGCTCAACAAGAGAATTTGCAACCAAGAGATTAAAACTTGCTGAAATTTTGTACTACAAGGTAAGAAAAGGCATTTTTTTGTACTGTTAGTCTATAAATGTGGTATTCTACAACCAAACAATAGCTTTCTTATTTTTATGTTGATACTCTTCATTTACTGTTGAAGGAGCCATGCTATGAGATTTTTCTACCTTCTTTTGAGCTATACCTATCTGTCATCAAATCAGTGGCTACCATGAATTGTAAACATATAATGAAATAGAGATGAAAAACACTCGTCTATTAATTATTTAAATGGCAACAATAGAAAGAAGGAAAAAAGATAATTGAGGGTGGAGAAGGGTTGGCAAACTTTTAAAGTATAAAGTTGAGACAATTTTAAAATTTGCAGAAAACAGTAACAAGCTATCTTAGAGTATTAAATGGACCTCTTTAGTTTGTATGATTGTGTTTCCAATGTACAGTAGATCATGTGATAATATTATAGAGAGCTGTTTCTATCAAACTTCCTTGTTACCAGCATAAGCTTGAGTAATTTACAAAAGGTATCAGGAAAATTTCTTTGAGACCTTCATTGGGAAAACAAAATACACAAGCTATTAGTACAGTGTATTAGTATTGGAAGTCTATTACATAGTAGAGATTAAGATATATAGGCAAAGAGTGGTTCAAAATGAAATGAATATATTTGCAGGTTCTTGAAAGTATAACTCTGCTGGAAAAGAAAAGGTTACAAGGACACCTTGATTTAACTGTGAGTGAACATATTAAATTGCACTGCAAGGGTCAGTTGGAGGAGCAATAATTACATTTTTGTTTGATTTTGGAGAGCTTTAAATCGTATTTCATTACTTTTCACAGGGTTTGCTGGAGCAAGATAACTTTCATTGTTCCTTGATGGCCTGTTGTTTGGAAATCATAATTTTCTCTTACAACTCTCAAAGGTAACTGTCTAACCAAATCTGAAATAAACAAAATAGCCAATCAGAGGAAACAAAAGTAGTGTTGCCTTGTAAAATTTTTATCTTAAGATGTGCATTCTTTTATTCAGAACTAGAATTTCCATGGTTTAAAAGTGTTTGAAGTGAGTGCTGATACTTCTTAATTAGAAGTAAAATATGTTTAGAAGGGTAATTTACATTTTTGATACTTAAGTAGTGCAGCAGTTGGCGATCTCAAAATTAACAGTTTTAAATCACAAACTTTAAATGGGCAAGAATTAATGGCTTTAGCTTGAGAGTTAAATTTGTTTGCTTGAGTCTCATGCTTTAGCACTCATGCGAGCTGTCAAGTATTGTACTCAATGGATGAGACTTGAGCATTCATGCAGAGTGCTCAAGTCCCCAGCTCAATGCTTAAAACTTGACTGATCTGCATGGGTGTGCAAGGTACCCTTAGTTTTGGTTTTGAATCTTACTGGTTGGCAAGGTGGTACAAGTTTCTTGATTAAACACATACTAAATTAAAGCATAACCAAAGCAATTGCGCATTTCTTTTACACTTAATCAAAATTTGCTCCATATATCTGTATTTTTTAATACAATTAACCTTCTTTTTTTGTTATTATTTCAACATTAGGACTTTCCCTTGGGTGATTGAAATCTTTGAAATCAGTCCTTTCTCATTCTACAAAATTATTGAAGTTTTCATCAAAGCTGAAGATGGGCTGTCAAGAGATGTCGTGAAGCATCTTAATCATGTGAGTTGTAGATGACCAGAGTATCAGAACAGATTTGATCTTTTTCCTGTAGTAAAAAAATTGTGAGCTCCTTTTCACCCTTTACAACCTAACATATGTATGCACAGTCTCCATACTGTTCTCTATACATTTCTTAAGTATTATTTTACAATTGAGAGTTTCTTTTAGTTGGTGATGATTTTCATTATTCTCATGACCTTTATGTGTGATTTGACTGACTGATGGTGCAGAAGAAGAGATAATTATTATCTTTGTGATATATTTGTTTGGGTTATGTACATGTAAGTAACATGAGATAGGAAAACTGAAAAATATTACCCATTGAAAAAGTTTTAATGAGAAAATGTTGAACCACAATATATTAAGGAAGTTGTTGCTTTTAAATCAGCACAAGGAGCTCCTCTCCCATAGTGATTTCAAAATACTACTTATTGCAAGATCAAATGTACCTAGCTGTATAACAAAATAGAAGTGCAGTCTTTTTTGTTTTGTTTTGTTTTGTTTTGTTTTGTTTTGTTTTGTTTTGTTTTGTTTTGTTGTGTTTTGTGTTTTGTGTTTTGTGTTTTTTGTTTTTTGTTTTTTGTTCCAATGGAACAATATAGATGTTTGAACACGTATCGTGTAATAAAACTATCTTGTCCAAATGTTAATCAGTTCATGTGCTTTTTTCAACCAGATAGAGGAACAGATTCTTGAATGCCTTGCATGGAGCCATGATTCACCTCTTTGGTATTCGATCCAACAAGCTGGCTCTGTTCCTTCATGTGAAGATGTATCCCTGCCTTACCAAACAGAATCTGTGCACACCACTCAAAACTTACTAGCTTCACCAATTATCCACCCTCGTGTTCAAAGGATATGTGGAGAAGAAGGAGCTGCAAGGAGAGGTGAATTACAACACCATTTTTATTTTCCATCTATGTCTGTCTTTCCTAAGAAGCAAGATAAGTTTGTTGAATTTTTTAAATCATTGGTTACTACCTTTCCATGGATTTTTATCTGCAATATTTCAACCATATTTACACCATAGTAGGTGTATTTCAGACCAGCTTTTAGAGGCTCTCACAGTTTTTTTTCCCATTATCCTTAAATTTAACAACTTTCCTCTCCCCTACAATTTTTTTCAGGACCTTTTTATTTGTGTTGGAATATTATTGTTTGCTGATTTTTTAGCCTCTTGATGGAAATTAACCCTTTAACTCCTAGAAGTGATCAACATGAAACTTCTCTCTATAATATCCTTACATTTTCCAGCGAATAGGTAATGAGAATATTCAAGCTTATCAGTTAGAAGTTGTTATCTTGATCTAACACTAAATTCTCATTACTAATTTACTAGGGAATGTGTAGCAGCTTGAGGGGAGAATTACCAATTTGATCTTGGGAGTGAAAGGGTTGAATGTTGTTTCCCTAAGGTTAAGTGTCTAAATGTGACCTGATTTACATTGCTCCTCTTTGCCATTTTGTTTTCTTAGTTTTACCATCGCCAAGCTCACCTTCAGCCCATGATGTCTTTAGTTCGCCAGTCACCCCAAGCAGTGGTGCACGGCGTAATCTCATGGTCAACTTTGGCAGCTCTTCTCCTGCACAGACTGCCCAGCCAGTGACACTGTCACCCACAACACGCCAGACAACTGCAAGGAATGCACCTACTTGTAAGCTTAATTTTCAGATTTCTAGGATCAGTGTTAATGCATCCTGTACAACCCTAAAAGAGAACTACCACACAGAATTGTTTTGTTACATTTTGACGACCTGAGCTATATATTCAAACAAGAGAACTCTTTGCAGTCTTTTCATGCTATTCTCCTGCATTTAGGTTTTTAATGCAAACTCTTTGATTCTTGTTTCAGTTATCATTACCCCAGCTCCTGGAAATAGTGGTGGTTTTTTAGTTAATCAAGCCGTAGTGTTGCCGAACACTTCAACTACAGTACAAGTGACTTCTCCTCAGGCTGGAAGTGTATTAACAACCAGCAGTACTACAGCATCACCAACATCCAGTCCAGTGAGACCATCATCGACACCAACCACGCCTAAGGGGAAGGTTGTAACTCCAACTAAACCCAAGAAGACTGGTTCCTTGGCATTATTTTTCAGAAAGGTAATGTGAGAACTGCCTTAACTGCAAACTCTGCTCAAAGAATGTTATATTCAAAATTTTGGAAATGAGAAGTTTTCCAAAGCTATAAGTGTGTCAGGTGTAATTATACATATTGAAGGTATATATATCTCCTTACATTTGTCTACATACATTTTTATACATTTTTAACATCACCCAAGTACAGTGCTTGGTTAACTTTCTTAATGATTTCTGCTTTCCTTTCCAAAGAAAAGCTTACAAAACTGGAGAATTACCCTCTGCCTCTTCAAGCTTGCTTGCAAAGGTCATCCATTCTCTTCTGATGAACTTTCTCTTGTTGATTTACAGGTTTATCATCTTTCCAGTGTTCGCCTGAGAGACTTGTGTACAAAGCTGGATGTCCATGAGGAGCTCCGTCTAAAGTAAGCTCACACTTGTGCCCACTTAATATCTGTCTCCTGATTATCTCAAAACCCTTCTGAGGAGCCACTGTGAGGCTCACTTATAACCAAGGCTTACTGAAAGGGGCCTATTAAAGAAGGGGTTCTTACAAGATTAGGAAGGGGGGAGGGGGGCTCTTCAAAATCTTGTCAGCCAAAATTTGTTATTTTACGTGGGAATTGTTGCCCAGATTTTATGAATACCACTTATAGTGTGAGTGGGAGTTGCTGTGGCCTATTGGTTATTATGCTGGACTCCAGGTCGGGATGTCTAGTTTTGAGACCTGGCCAGGTCATTGTGTTTTGTTATGGGACAAAATTATTGTTTCACTGTCACAGTGTCTCTCTCCACCCAGGAGTATAAATGGGTACTGGTATTGTCAGGGAAGGAGGATAAAATGCTAGTGGGTAACCTTATGATGGATTGGCATCCTATCCTAGGGAGAATTGTATTACTCTTAGTTGCTTCATGCTATGGAAACCTGGATAAGCTTTAGCTGGATGGGCCACTTGGCTCCAGCACAGGCTTTGCCTACCCTCATACAGTATGCAATTCTTTGGTTGAAAACCTACAGTGATAAACATGGAAAGTGATATTGGCTATCAGTATCACAGAGGTCATGGGTTCAAATCCCATACAGGCCTGAATTTTTTTCAGATCTTATTTCAACTACCAGTTCAGTAGTGTTTGTAGCTGCAAGGATCTCTTATATTTGTTTCTTCACTGCAGTGCACATATATGATTTTCATATATCTACAATCATTATCTATGTTTTTTGTTCTTCTCACCTGGTGTATGATATATTTTACCAATTCCAACTGTTAACCCATCGATGTTTTACAGGATGTGGACATGCTTTGAACATACACTGATGAATGTGACAGAGCTGATGAAGGACAGGCACATTGATCAGATACTGATGTGTTGTATTTATGTCATGGGCAAGGTAATCCATTTTTTCTGTGAGTAGAACCTTGTCTTGTGTGTAGTTTCTTGTTGTAAGGGGTAAGCTTTTGAAATCTGAAGGAATATTATAGTACCCATATGTTATCCAGCAAACAGCAGTAGGTAACAAGAATATGGAACTTATTTTGATCTAACAGTGCCAAACTCTTGTAACTAATTTACAAGGAAAAGTGTAACAAATGAAGGGGAGAATCTACTGTTAGTTCTTGGGAATTAAAGGGTTAAACCTACTGTGGTTCTTCCAGGTAGAGCATCTCTGCTTCTCTAAGGTAGGGTGTCAATACTTGTACATTCATGCGTCAGCTGACATGTTCATCTTGTTCATTTTTCAGGTCACAAATGCTGATCTATCATTCCAAAACATCATGAAGTGTTACCGCACTCAGCCCCAAGCTGTCAGCCATGTAAGGGTCTTTTACTTAAAATAATAACCTCAATTTTTTAATCTCTCTCAAGGTTTACTGTGTGATTAAAAGGTAACTTTCTCAAACCCTAAAGGTTTACAGAAGTGTGCTTCTCAGAGGAAGAAGAAGAGCTCCTCTTGGCAGTAGTGGCAGCGATGGTGGAGCAAGAGGTGAGATTATGAATTGTTTTGAGTATCAGTGTTCTTTTGTTTATGTTAGGATTTGTTGAAGCCTACCTATGGATATTTCAGGTTTCAGAGCAGGAAGTGACTTTCACAAATTTGAAATTTGGCTGCACTGATCTCTTTTTTGTCAACTCTTCCTTTTGGATACAAATGGCATTTTAGCATCTCTGTTGGAAGACTTGCCCCAGTCAGGGATAGTCAGGGAAACCTGCTTGATGTCAGGTTTTTTTGTGCCCATTACTTTGTCAATTGTGATCTAAGACAGAAAAGAAGTATTTTAAACTGATTCTGACATCAATGTCTGGCTTTTAAAAAAAGTTACTGGTACTCTTATATTTCCCAAAATGTCAAAAATCACATCTCAGAGAATTTCAAAATTCACTTTTTTGTGTGTGGTGTGTGTATTTGCAAAGGGGGGGAGGAGGGAAAGAAAGACATGCTCCCAAATTCCTTGTTGAAAGGTGCATTGCTTTGCAACCTACCATGCTTCCTATGCAAGCATAATTCAATTCAGCTGCTAGCCTAGTTCAGATCATACATTTATCTCATTTCTAACATCAACTCTGCCTGTAATGGGAAGAGAAATTTGTAGGCTGAGAAAAACCCCATAGGATTACCACAGATATTGTAATGGTATTTTAGCTCTTCACACTTTTTTTGTTAATTTATTAACAGGTATTAAAAGTGAACCAGGTAGTAGTGGACCTGCCAGTCCAGTACAAGGTTCCAGTAGTGCAAGAGCAAGCCCAATAAGGAGTGCAAGCACTGTACCTTCCACTCCCCCTCCAAACAGTGCTTCAAACTCTGGATCCAGTAGTACAGAAAACAGTCCAAACATTGACGGTGAAAGAGGAGATCTCATTGAGTTTTACAACAAGGTAATGACAAGTAGATCTATTTTTCTTGAGTTACATCAGCACTCAAATGGAAATTCAAAACTCAGCTCTCAAAATTGTAGAGACTGAGACTGAGTTTTGATTTTTGAGAAGAAACTCTGCTACTAAATCTTTCCACTGCAGATTCTTTTGGGATTAAAACAATCGAAATGAAAATTTGTACCCAAAATTTGCCCCATTCAAATACTACATCAAATATTTTGACAAAAATCTAATGGATAACCACTTATCTTCTTCATCAATTTTTTTCATCAGGTCTTCATTAAAAGAGTAAAGAATTTTGCCCTCAAGTTCTCTGCTGGAGACAGAGCAGTAAGTAAAGTTCCATAGTTACATGTTATTTTTTACAATCTCCTTTTGGTATATGATAAGAATTTTGAAATTTTTAATGATGGTAAGTGATCTTAGAAAGCAACTCAGGCAAATGATTTGAATGAAATGAAATTAATGCTTTTCCTGGTCCAGAAAGCAAGCAAGTGATTCAAAACAATGATTATTTATTCCAAGATTTGCTGATGGTTCCATTTCTTTCCTTTAGACGGATTCTCCTCCCCTGTCTCCCCTACCAGTCATGAAAAACCAAGCACACTCACCACGACGCAAAGTTTCAACCCGACATCCAGTGTATATTTCACCTCACAAGAATGGTAAGTTGTTTTCTGTATGGAAACTGCACCAATGAAAAATGCTGTCTCTTAAGCTTAATTTGAAGATAAAGAGAGTATTGAGAGTCCATAAATTAGTTTGATCTTCCAAGGTCAGCCGCCTGGCATGCCCACCCATATCAGTCAGTAGTGAACATATAAGCATGTTCGTTAGAGTTTACTTAGAAGAGAGTGGGGAGAAGAGAGGAAAGAGAAGAGAGAAAATGGAGAGAAGACTACAAGAATGTAGACAGAGTGCAGTAGTGTATTCCTGTATAAAAACTGCACCAATGAAAAATGCTGTCTCTTTAGCTTAATGTGAATATAAAGTGGATGTCAATGGTTGAGTATTAAGAGTCCTTAAATGAGGATGCAGAGGACAAGAAGACAAAAGAGATGGACTCTAACATTTGTTTCTAGGCATTATATGAAATCCCTCTAAAAAAATTTCCACAAAATACTATGGATATGAAATGAATTTTGGATAAAAAGCTTGATAAATGATAAATTTTAGTCCACAGAAGTGGAAAAAGTCATGTTTTTCTTTTATTTCCCAGGCATTTCAATGACGCCAACAACACGAATGTTGTACTGTTTTAAAGAAAGTCCAGCCGAGGTAAATAACGTTTTGTCTTGTTGTTAAAGTGTTTATAGTGGTAATTATAAGTGTTACCCTCCTTCCTATTATGATAATTTTTCTGATCCACATCTTTCAAAGCTAATACATTAGACATGAAACTCTCAAGGCATAAAGGGCACTGAAGAAGGATTGTGTCCATACCTGAAGAGCAAATGGAATTGCCACAGTTGCTTCTCAAAGATTACTTAATACATAGTTTCAATAATTTTAAAATAAATCATTCTTCCTCTTCATTTTGAAAAACTTGTTTTCCACTACCTGCAAAAATTCCAGTTAAAACTCAATCTCATGTTGGCCATTGGGTGGGGCATGCCACATATCTTTGAATAGGAAGTAAACTATGGATACCCAGGACTGTAGCTTTCAAGTTTATAAGGTGTTATGCAGTTATTCTCATTGTGTATGTTATTATCTGCAGAAGCTACGAGATATCAATCATATGCTGAAGCAAGGTGGTGGGGAGACAAGTCGTAAGAGAGCTCTTTTGCAAGATGATCAGAGCAGTCATCCACCTGCTAAACGAACAGCTTCAGAGGAGGTGTTACAACGAAAACTAACCAGTATGCTTGAGGAACGGCAAGCATCAGCCTCCAGATAATCAGGAAATTGTAAATGGTGGATTGGTTAATTTTGGTATACTTTTGACCAAGTAATACCAAATTGCTGCAGTAGTTTACTATCCTTTACATTTTGTTTTGGGTTTGTTTGTTTTTATCACCATCAATGGCATTGGACACATAAGTTCTTGTAGACCATTTAATTATGATATTTTAACCCACTCACAATTTTTTAAGTTCTTTGTGTCCATTTTGCTTGTTAAACTTTGCAGCCATTTAGTTCTGCAACAATTCAGAAAAGGTTACTCTCTTAGTAATGATCTTTATTAAATTATTAGTCATTAAATCTATCCTAAGCTTTTTTCTTAAATTATATCTGAAAATATGGTTTTATGAAATTTATGTAAATTAAACAACTGACTGGAAAAAAAATTATTTACTGCGTCTGCTTATCTGAACCATTAATAAAATTACTGCCTATTATTTTACCTCTCAGATGATGTGTAAATGTGTTATAATCTCTTGTGAAGCAAGTTTCATTAAGAGTGTTGTTGTAGGAACCTTTGATCAATCCTTTTTTGGAAATCTTAATTTTCATTTTAATATGAAGTATTAAACATTTATAGTTTTGTATTAAGTTTAATTATGGTTCTTTTGTTGTAACTGTGTTAATCATAATTGGTCAAATGATACACTCAACTTCTGGCATTAGCTTAAAGAGATGGCTTTAACATAGTAATTTAAGTTTACTTGACTCTAAATTCATTCACAGCTGGCACATTTAGCAGTATGATTTTAATGCTAATTACAAATGTTGATATAATAATTTTTTGTTTTTAGTCACCAATAAGTAAAAATAATTGCCAATAAATAGGTCAACAGGAGAATCCCATTGTTCTCTGTGATAAGATTGGTGCATTTTTCTCACTTGATTTCAAAATCAATTTTCATACATACAACAATAAAATCACACTAAGTTATACAATTATAAAATTTGTATAATTTTTTTGTCTAAAAAGAATTTTTTCCAAACGAAGACCTTCTGTTTCATTCTTTTAACGTCATTGAAGTTTTATCCTATTGAAAGACTGAATTAAATTGTATTTGATAAATTTCACACAAAAAAGTTGCAATTAAGCTTGTATCAAACTGTTCTTCAGGATTTATAGCCTAAGGAGTTGGTAAATAAAAACATTGTTGAAGTAATGTGTATATTGAGGAGGTAGCAACCCTTAAGCAACGTTTAGAAGTCACACCCTTGACCCTTAAACTTTCAGAGGTGATGATTTGTAACTTCTCACATTTTAAACACATTTTTCAGCAAATAGCCTAGGAGAATAGATGAGCTTATCAGCTATAGGGTGTTAACTTGATTTAAAAACTGTTTACTGTCTTCTAGCATTCAAATTTGGAAATAACATTGACTGCCTTCAAAAAAAACTATGGTACATTTAAATCAAGAGGCTTATTTCGTGTTTGAAGGTTGCAAAGTTGAAAAGATTAGGTTTCCTTCCTTAACAATGATCTACATTAACATTTTCTAACAAATAATTAAAACTACAAAACACAAAAAATTGTCAATTAGAGAAATCAAACCTTATACCCACAAAATTTTCATGCCACGTGTTGATGAATTTGCAAAGAAACACAAGGCAGCTACCGAGGTGAATTACAACTGAGACGTTTGGAGGTAAACACTTAACGTATCAGTTTCTGTTCTCTGCCACTTGGGCCAGGGAATGTTAATCAGGTGGAAAAGGTTTATCCCTCCACTTTCTTGTCCATTTTTTTAGGCCAAAAAAGTAGAATTAGGATTAATTTAACTTATCTGATATAAATGGAAGTATTTAAATTTTAGCAGACTTCAGCTGCAAAGCTTGTTTCCGTTTTAGGGAACTTTCATTGTTTAGTAGCAGAACCTTTTAAGTTTTAGCTGTTCCATAGTTAGAATGCTTGGAATCATTTATAAGAGTGACTGATATAAAATTAACTTTGAATATACATGTTACAAAAGAGGCTAGGAAAGCAAGTAAACCTGTTTAGTGTCTTGGGAAAAAATAAGTTTGCATGCTCTTAAGGAGGAACTGTCATCAGTATCAGATTAGACTATCTTTCTGTTGTTAAAGACTGAAAATTTTTCATAGAATTAACAAACGGAAAGACAGATGCAATTTACTCTTGACTTGTGGTTCAATTTACCTTTGGTTAGTTTCAGTTTCCTTTGTTTTGGTTATGGAAATGTATGTTAATGCTTTTGAAGGAGAGGAAAATGAAACTTAAACCAGAATAAAATTGAACTTCAACATGCATATTTTTTCAAATTTAACAGAGTCATAATTTAATGTTAAGTTTTTATTGGCTGATTGAGAATTTAATGGATGCACTCATGATACTAATGGTCTTGCATGGTTATCGTAGAAAGTGCTTTCCACTCGTTTAACATTAGTCTAGTTTAACTTTCATGGCAACAGTTTGGTTTTGTATAGCTTGCAGCAGATTATTGTCGATTAGGGTTTTGAACAATCATGCCTATATCTATTACTTAGATGATAACTTGATATCAAGTAAACTCTTGATGACAGTTTCTCCTTCAGCATGTGAATTTTTTTTTTCGTTTTGGTGTGGTAGGAGGTATTTCGCTTTTCAGAATTCATTGTATAACTCTTCAACTCCCAAGAAAGACCATGACAGAATTGAGGAGAAAGTAAGGGGAATTACTTATAGGATCTTGGGAGTGAAGGGGCAGAGACCTGTAGTGTTTTGTTGCCCTAGCCTTAAGGAACATGCCAATTAGCAATTAAATTAGACTAACAAAGAACTTATTAGGTAATTTTATTAGAAGAGAAGAGCAGTTCTTGTTCTCGCTGTTATTACCTAAGTTCGTAAAATGTTGAATACTATTTTATGGCTATTCTTTGGTGAAGTGACTTGTGGCTTTGCATGTTGTGCTTTGCTCTGATATGTGTTAAGTATAAATAGTGTTTGCAATAATTTGCAGAATTTCTTTAGCAACTTGTTCTCGCTTAGCAGAAAGCTTATTGATTGTTTCTCTGTTGCTGTAATGAAACACCATAGTGCCTTACTTTAATTTTCACTTATATGTCAGTCAGCAGTTCGCTTATCTTTTAGATTATCCTTTCTGAGCCAAGCTCAGTTCAGGTGTTAAAAGCTACTAATATGTACTTCCATTAGTTGTATCTATTAAAAAATATATCTGATGTAGTGAGACTATATGCTCGGATGAAATGATTTCATGTTGATATATTATTGCTTTTTTATGTAAAGAAAAGATTTATGGGGAGTTAATTTATCTGCATTTAGTTTTCTCACAAGGATAACGGGACAGCACCTTAGGAAAATTGTCGAATTTTTTTATTCTCGTCAAATATGTAAGTTCCTTAGATAGTTCCCTTGAAGGAAGAACCATGTAATCACTTTCCGGTTAAGTGGTTAGTTACGAGCTTGGATATCAGGTACCACTCTCGGTCATGTGACTCAGTAGTTGGCTTCTTTCCACACGGAGCAACAGCTTTCCCTCTCACCCAGTCCCTTACCCTCCTTTTTATCGCTACTCTGCTTGTTATTCTATTACCGTCGAGCTATAGCAAGCCGGTTGGTGACGTTCCTTTTTTTATGACAGATAGATCTCCTATACGATCTGCTGGGTTAGCACCCAAAAGGCTACTTCGTTCTTTCAAGATAATTTTGGTTTTATTAATTGAATTGATAATGTAAATTGGCCACTGTAAAGGGTTTCAGAGCTGACTATTGAGTGTTAGCCCTTCGTCAGAGCGAAAGACGAAGGGTTAAGTCAAAGCGTAAGATCTTAGAGGAAGGATCGGAAAGGAAAAAATATCCGTATAAATCTCACAATATCGCTAAATATTACCCAAGTTATTTTATGCATTTGCGACAGCAACATGCTTTTGTCTAAGCTTCTTCATCTGAATGTCTGGACCACGCCCACTCCCTCCCTCCCTGCACCGGCCTCTACCCCTAAATAGACAAGGACAAGTCAAAATATGGAGGTTACAAGACCAGTCACAGCCGAAACATACCAGAACTTAGCCGGATTACTTAACTTCCTTTCACTAACAAATGTAACACGCCAGCGCAACTGACTTGATCTCTGGACCTCAGGTGACCAGTTTTTTTTTCTTACGGCCCAACGATTGAGAGTAAAGGAAAAGCAGAGGCACAAACCTAGCCTCGCTCCTAGGCTCCTTTCTCGTCCTTCTTCACAAAAGTACTTTTTCGAAGGAGAAAGGGAGAGGAACCCTGGGAACAAGGTTGGCATATAGCTTAGACCCAGCGTCGTTCTTTTCTCGCCCCAATCTCTTATCATAAACATCTCTTCTCAAATCTTGATAAAACTTGCTCCGTAAAGAGCAAAAAACAGGATATCGTCAATAACTCCCCTCTAACTTCAGGCTTATCGAAATTTGCCTTGATCGCTTAAATCAAGGCAAAGACGACAATCGACCAAAGCAAATTAAAGCAAATATTTTAACTATCAATTAAGAGGGTAAAAACCCGACGCTGTACGGCCTCAGACCCTCAAGATTGTCTGCCTCTGCGATAAAAAGCCCTAAAATGATCATTCCCTCTCTAATCTGTTGAAAAGTTGCATTAAGGCAGACAAGGCATGTTTTAATCATTTAGGTGTATCTATAAATAAGCTCCTCACTTAATAAGTGTCAGACTTTGTGTTTTCGTCAACACACGCTCTGTTGATTTCAAGAAAAATCCCAAACTGCTAATCTTATGATACGCTTCTGCTATGAGGCTTTTCGTGAGAATTGTTTCACTAACAGCTGGAATGAAGCAAAAATATTGTTTATCATATATGCAATTAAACACTATTTTCATTTTCCTTCCGAAAGGGGGTTTACCCCCTGTCTCAACTGACTGATCTGAGTCAACTCTAACAATAGTTGATTTCGAAAGTCATGCTGCGTCAGTCGAAGTTTGCTTTGATTCTAGAATGAAGTATGAATTATACATGATCAGCTCGAACCGAAAGGCTATTTGTCCATCATGGTTTGGGGACGATGTTGATTTACAATGACGCATTAAACTAAGATTTTAATTCTGACCGTATCTTAATGAACCAATGAACTTGATGACAAATCAGAATCGCTGAGCAAGCACATTATTAGCTTGAAATACTTTTGGATGATGCCAGGTTATGATATCATGCTGGTTATTTCAAATGAGCAAGTTACCTTTTTTTTTACTCCCCTTCTATAGTACATAATTTAGGCCCGGTCTTCACGTATCCGTATTCGTTTGAGGACGCAACTTTTTTTTCTCCGTTTTCAAAAAAATTCGGGTCCACAAGTAGCGATTTCGCATTGTTTTGGCCGGTCCACACGTTTACAATGAATCGATTTGAAAACGATAATTTTTAAACGATAACCCGACTGCGCTTGCTTGACACATACGTATTCGCTATTGTGAGCCCGGAGAGTGAATTGGAATAGATAGTGTGACGTCAGCTTTTTTGACAAGTTTCGTCTTTGTCCGTCCACACGTACACTCGAAAACAGCGTTTTCAAAAAGTTCCACACGGAAAAGCGTTTTTGAAAAGCTCCGTTTTCAGTAATCGTTTTCATCAGATACAAGAGGACGGAAAAAGAAAAAGTCGTGCTTTCAAATGAAGGCGGATACCTGTGGGCGGGGCCTTGACTGTACATTCCATCGATTTAACGGTGCTACAAAATTAGCACGTCAAGCGAACATGCGCCGACAGCTATCGTAGCGATTTGATTAAAACTCCGAGGTATATTTGAAACGATCTGGAATTACGCCAAAAACTTATTCATCGCTGACATCATGTACTAAATTGAACGCTATTTTCACTTTCCTTCTGAAAGGATTTTACCCCTGTCTCAATTGCAAGTGACTGATCTCGATCAACTCTAACAATAGTTGAGGATAGTTAGTTTCATAAGACAAGCTGCCCTCGGTCGAAATTTCGCTTTGATTCTAGATTGAATTATTGTTGATCGGCTCACCAACCGAAAGGCTTTTTCTCCATCTCCATCCATGTTAGGGACAACACTGATTAACAATGCTGCATTAAACTAAGAATTTACTTCGAGTCGTATCATAATGATCCACAATGTCGTGCGATAGTTGATGACCTACGTAAATCAGTAAATAAGCACGATGTTAGCTTCAGATACTTTTGAATAACATCACGGCCATTCTCATATAACATAGATGGTATTCTGTTGCTTAACCCATTAACTACCAGATCAAATTTGTAATTCTCCTTACTGTCAACCGTATAATTCTTATAATTTTAGTTCCAAGAATTTAGAATTATGTCAACTAAGGCAGTGTTCACACTTGGTGCCCGGGCACTAGTACCCGGGCACCGGCACAAAATGGTGCTGTGTTCAGACACACGGTACCCAGTCTGAAGATATGTTCACATTCAATAAACAGAGCACACGCTCATTATTGAAATCTCGAGTGGGACAAGGAATTGTGGGTACGAAAACAAGTGGTTTGTGGGTAAAGTGCCAGGGCACCAACGAAAAATGTGTTCACACAAGGACTCAGTGCCCAGTTTAGTGCTCCACCTTGTACTCGGGCACCGGCACCGTGCCCGAATTCTGGCGTGGGTACCAGGAAAAAAGGTGTGTTCACGTTGGTGCCCGGCGTAGAATAGAACCCGGGCACGGTGCCCGGGCACCAAGTGTGAACACTACCTAATTATCCCCAAATTGATATTTTCTTTATTCTCATCACTTATCTGGTTGATATTGTATTGATATTGTAGGGAGAAATTCTGTCTTGGTCACTCATGGAGTTAGAGGGTTAATACGCACAAACAGCTATTTCTCTTTTCCGAGTGTGTTGTTATAAATTGTACATTCCATAGATCTACTAGTTCAACACAGTGAACAGCTAGAGACATCAAGTAAATATGCGCCGTCTGCAACTTAGTGTATCGTTTATATTAAGAAAGTGTTTAATGTAAGAATTCGAATTCCGAAGTTATTTAGATTTGAGCTGTCGTGATGAGTTTCCAAATTGTGACAGCCTTTTCCGTAACTTCCTCAAGTGGACGTGCTTAGTTTGTTTGCTGACCTTGCCTTGGACCCACACGAAAGTTCTTGATTTGACTAACGCAGTCAGAGGTTGACTCAGTTGACCGGAAGCATTATGATTAAGTACTTTATTTTTCAGATCGAAAGTCTCGTGATATTGTTTGGTTTAGCGTTTTAACAACGGATGTCTGATCTCCCGAGGTCAGCCACCTGGTATGCTCACGCATATCAGTCAGTAGTGAATATATATGAATGTTCTTTAGAGTTTACTTAGAAGAGAGTGGGGAGAAGAGAGTGGGGAGAAGAGAGAAAAGAGAAAAGAGAAAATAGAAAGAAGAGAAGAGAAGAACTGACGTAGACAGTGTGCAGTAGAGTAGAGTCAGAATACCGCAGTTGAAGTTGAAGTATCCAATGAGAATCAGCGTGTGAGAGCCTAAGGGATTAATCAGAGTTACACAGAATGAAATAAACTTGGATGTAAGTGGAATTGTGTTCTGGAGAACCGAGTAATTGAAGAAAGCAGAAAAAGACGGTTTGAGAGTCTTAGTGCCTTTCGCCGGGCGTGGTGTGCTCGATAGCTAGTTCCCCTTGACATTTAGTCGTAACAACATTAAGGCTATCCATTAAAACCAAAAGAATATGTAATACTGTTGCTGGTTATGAATAAAGAGCTATCTCTCTTAAGTGACTTAGGTGTGTCATCATCGATTGAAGAGACCACCTGAATGACGAAAAATATTTAACTGAATTAAATTAGTGGAAAACAAAACGCAATGCAATACTTTAGACTGAATTTGTGCGTTTCACTTGCGGGTCAAATAAACTTCGTAGTTCTCCGCTCAATTTCTTTACTGATGGGAAATTTAAATTCAGTCACTGAGATGAACAGGAAGCCAAAAGGAGTGTTCATATAAGGAAATTGCAAATCTCGGTCTTAAAAACCAACATACCGATGAGCGGGGTAGCCTATCTTTCCATATAAACACATTGAGCCTTTTGCAAAGAAAAGAGCCAAGATCTTGGAAACCGAGCTGGTTAATCAGTCTTGTATAAAAAAGGTGCCATGCCACGCGTTGTAATTCAAAGTCAACAATCACACTTCTACTGGGTTTAAGTCTGCATAACTCGAACAGACAAAGCACTAATGCCGTTCACTTTTTCTACGGAATATGCTCTTACCGTTTCAAATGTTTCTTTTATTGCATGAAACGGGATTAAGTCTTTTTAATTTTGTGATCGATGAAAATGCGAAATGAAAACCCCATGAAGTGTGAATTTTTGCTTTTCACAATACGTGAATTTTACAATCGTACATCCCATAGTTCGTGACGCTTTATTTCTAATTTTTTATGTCCGTAGAACGTGTACAGGACCCCCTCCTTTCACCCCCCTCTTCAACTAGAAATAGATACAAATATGTAGAATAAGGATAATTTTTTGTATCTTTCAATTGAACAGACACAAACTTGAAGGTGATCAGAAAGAGCAAGTCATATGTCAGAGAAGAAACTTCTCCTTATTCCCCTTACCCTTACTTTTGCTCGCCTAAACAATGTAAAAACGTAAGGGGGTAAGTATCTAAAAAAAACTGTGGTACTGCATCGGTGGGGATTTAACAAGAGAATTTGGTACTTTGAACTGAGTTGATAGTGTAAATTGGCCACCTTTAAGAATTGAGGCTCAAGCTGAGGTTTCGAGTGTTAGCCCTTGGTCAGTACAAACGAAGTGCTAGCGGTGGAAACTTTGGCTGTACGAACTCTTTAAGATGGCCAATTTAAATTAGCAACTCAGTTAATAAAACCAAATTATAATGGAAAAAAAAGTGTTACAACCAGGATAAAGCAAAAGATGATGATACAGATCACAGGAAAATTTAAAGCCACAAACACAGACTTCAAAATTAAAGAGATAACACTGTATGTATTTCAGCTTTCATTACTCCGTAAAAAATCATTACTGTAAAATAATCAGTTTTACCGATGAACTATTTTTTCTCGACAGCAAGTACTTTTCTTAAAAAAACTTTGAGAAAACCTTGCGTATATATTTCTTCTTTGACCACTCTGTAAAAATTTTTGTGACTTCACATTTTATCATAATCTACTTTTCACTGAAAGTAATTAAGTTTCTTTTCAGAAAATTGCTTTCAGTCATGTATATGAACTTCATATGGGGCATATTTGTGTATTGTAGTCCTTCACTACAGTACCAAACTGCGCTAAAAACAATCAATACTTTGCAAGTGTATGAATCATTCAGTTGTCTTCCATCGTCGTTAATGCGCCTTAGATGTTCACAGAGCAACAAAAAAATTGATCATTCTTGGGCCTGTACTTTCCATGCAACTTTTTTGCAATGGTCAAAGTGTCACCAACAGGAGCATCTGGAAAGGATGCTGTACCCTGTGTCCACTTTGTTTCGTGATCTAAAACAGCTGCATTAAACTTATCAGGTTTAAACCCAGTTCCATTTGAAATTGCATCAACAAGGTACGACTCAAATAGCTCCCAGCGTGGTTTATAGTAAGTATTCACCAGTCCACCCCACATCTTATTAGCATAGTCATCAATATTCCCACGAGGACCCCACAGAGTAACCTGGTTACGAGCGTTGTACTCGTATAATTCTTTCTCCTGAGAGTTTGTTGCAAGGGCCTTTGCACTGTTGAGCCAATGTCCAAGCAGGAAGTATTGGTTGGATGACAGAATTGCATCCATGTCCACAAATACTTCATATAACTTGACAGCAGCAGCCTGCACTGCAGATGTTGAGTTGGCCTTGAAGCCAGCAATCATGTCATCATAGTTGGTGATGGCAATCAGTTGCAGGGACTGTCGAGTTACATCCACTAGGTCATATCTAAAAAGAGTGAAAAGGTAAACTATGGTTACAGGTGCTGCTATACTAGCAAATATAAAATATCTTTGAATGGAATTGTAGCCTGATGTTGGTACAGGTATGCTCTGACCGTGGAGAAAAATAGTGTCAAATCTTTTACCTGCATTTTTTTTTTTTTTTTTGAGGCGTTACTTCCTGCACAATGAACAACTAAAAGCTTATGACAAAAGATGACTCCAGAAATCATGTAATTTGGTATAATATGTACTTGTAAATTTTTCAAAGACAACAAATTGCACTTGCTCTATGGGCTCCTGAATGCAATTTTGTTGTCTTTTAAAAATTTACTCATATTTTTAACTATACTACTGGAAATGCATGTAATAAAAATGCATTCAGGTGAGTGTAAAATGCTTGTTATTTACACACAATCAATCTACTGGATCTTAGTGCTTGTGAATAAGCAAATAAAGTGGATTCTAACTTTGTTTCACATGAGCATCAATAAATTGGATTCCTGATAGATTCAAGTTGAAGTTGTATGCACTGTGGCAGAGCTGCATACATCAAGACCACTGTGCAAGTGATCTAAGCAAAAATTAATGCAATATCACCTAAATGGTTCCACTGAATTAAAGGTTTCTGCCGTCAGTATCATTGCATCCCATGCACTCCACACATCTTCAGGCTTGTACCACAGGTTGAACCTCATGTCGAGTGATGGCCGATTCACAATGACAGAACGAACATGATCTGGATGTTCATCACTGCAGTTGTAAACACTCTGTGTTAGCAGCTTCCAAGCATTTAGTGAGAAGTTAGTTGTGCCACCATATCTCCTGTAGGAGTACTCCTTCACCCAGGAGGGAATGTCCACTGCTTCAGATCTCCAGCCCATCTCATTCATAAGCTCATAGACAACATCATTTTGTTCAATTCCTTCAGGTGTTAACCCAGTCCCAATCATGGTGGAGCCTTTATGTGTTTGAGCATGGACTGGTCCTGCCAAAACAAAAAAATTGAAAAAAAAACTGCAGACAAGGGGATAGAGAGAGAAGAAAAAGTACAATGGTTTTACAGTGATTCACAGGCACACCAGTATCTGATAAATACAGCAAGTTGTCAAGAATGAGTGATCATAAATGAACATAAAACTTAACTGTTTCATCATAATAATTATGATTGCCAAGAAAAATCACTTCAAGTAACAGTTACCAATTAATATTCTCACAAAGGTTTCATCAATGGCAAAATAACTCTAGTTTTTTCATCTGTTACCATCATAGCTCACATTGTACATCAGTAGTTCAGGTACCCACCACGTTAACTACTTTTCTGTTGTTTAATCCTGAAGGCAAGTTCCTACCCTAATTTCATTTCATATTGTACCAGTCAAACCTGCTTTTGTATACTCTCTGGAACCAAGGTTTGAGTAACTAGGTATAACAGCAAGTTTTCATAATTTTTTTTCGTCTAGTGTCTTATACAGGATGGGAGGTTTGAAGATGCATGTCCCACACCACCAGTTGAATTTCCAGGGTTATCCCAGTTAAATACCCCATCAATAAAAATTCCCTATAAAAAGCAAGATGAAACAGGATAAGAAGTATGTCAAACTATCCCAACTGAATTTCCCTGGAATACTTCATCCTCAGGGTTATCCTTGTCATAAACCCCATAACATGTTCTATGTCATTTAATACCTGTAGTGACATTCATGAAATTGCCATAGAAACCAATATTTCCTCCAAAGTTGTGCAGCATACACCAAATGAATGGCTGTCCATAAAAGGACTCTGTTCTTTGCCAAACAGGATGAACGTCTGCATATAAATCTAGGACAATCATTTTACCTTGAGGCACCCCTTAAAGGATAGAAAATAAAGTTAATATTGCATGCCATAGGTATATAATATTACTCACTGCTGAGTATTCAATTATCTCAGTCCGGAGTTAAAAAATTAAGTTGCATCTTTTAATCTGTGTACAATTTGTTCATGTACTAACTACTAATTTTAAGATACTTATCATTTCCACAAATTGATTTTTCATTGACAATTTTTCTTTTAGGAAGACATCAAGTCAATAGAGGTTTATGTTCTATCTGAAAGCCTTGCCTTTCAGGTCTTCTTGTAGTAAGTGCAACGTTCATGTCATTTAATATACATTCTCCTTTTAAACAAAACAATTGCTACTTTGTTACCTTGTAACAATGCTTTGATCTGTGGTGGCTTCCAAAAATTTCTGTCCTGGAAAAGCCAGCCTTGCATAAGCCAGGTGGCATTAGGATCTCCAGCAAGCATTCCTTCATACACTGCTTTGCTGGCACCAGACAGATATGAAGTGTCATTTGATCGTGGAGTCATCTCATTGAATGTATCAGCATTGTAGATATGATCTGTGCCAAATTCTGAGATCAGTGCTTTGATAAAGAATCCCCCAATTTTCTGAAACAGTCATAGTTTGCCATGAGTACAGAAAAAACAAAGCAAACCAGTAGGAGAAAAAATAACATCTTTCATATTTCTATGTTGGTACATAAGGGAAAAAAGTTTGACCTTGATCTTAAGAAAGGTCCTCAGCTAAAGATCTTCGACACGGTTTCACCCTATATAGACCTCCTGTCCAATAAATAACTCATATGTAATTATTCAAACTGATACCCACTGATATCTTTCTCTCTTCTCAATACCTTTTTGCTTGAAAATGTAATGATATTGTAAGGAGAAATTAATTTCTAGTCACTTTTGGGACGGAAAGGATTAGGTGCTAGAGACACTGAGAAAAGCTAAGGCAACTGTGCAGATATGCAAGTCTGGGTTCTGTATGTAGACTTTTAATGACGTACAGAACACATGTTATTTGATACCACTCATGAGCTATTCTAACATCTTCCACAGGGGTGTGGAAATTTTGTCACAACAAACAACATTGGGCCTTTGACTTTTAAGGATGTACAGAACACACACACGCTATCGTTAACATTTTCCACAGGGTGTAAAGTGTTGTTACAACAAACAGCTTTGGGCCTTAACACACAGACTACTTCTGTAGACACATAACATTATTTGAAGTACTAGAAGGCGACACCTACCTGAAAAAGAGGGTCAGATGGATCCAAGAGATATGTGCAGCAAAAGGTACTGTTGAAATGACCCCAATCAGAAAGTCTTGAAACATTTGCCTTTGGATATACTCTGATCAAACCTTCTGGAACATGTCCTGCAAAACCTGGCAGGACAGGTGTCATTCCAAATGCTCGCATCCTGTCCAAGATTTTGTGCTGCAGCTCCAGCTGATTTGTATGCCATGAGGAAGGAAGAGGGCCTCCCCAACCACGCAGGTTACCCATCCTTGCCCTGCAACAAGGTCACAGAGTAACACATTAACCTAAACTGGCTGTGCAGTGTCAGTGAAATGCTAAGGCATTTGCCTTTCATAACTGTGAGACTAATACCGTATTCAAACTAGCAAAACATGTTTAGCTAAACCGGTTTTAACTGAATAAAAATCATAAAGAGAACTGAAAAACAGAACTTCCCACAGGATTCAATTAGTCACTAATTTGTCTATTCAGTGTGCCTAGTAAGCACCTTCTATGAAAAGAAATAAACCTTTTTTCAGGAAAACAAATCAGTGTGAATGGGGTAATTAAGTCAACTTGTAGATCTGGTATCATTATCACTGCTTCTTGTTGTTTTTATTTAAAGAGTTTTCTCTAAATTATGGTTTTCCTTCGTTCACTAACATCATGACCTGATGTTATGCTGCTTAAATTCGAGGGTTTCTGTAGTAAGCTCTTATTTATAACTACAAACCGATTTCAAAAAATTTAACTAAAAATCAAATCATAAAATATTCTGTTCAACTGTCCCACAGCTATATTTGCTTAAGTACACTGAAGCTTTTGTATGCAGGAAAACATTTTCTCCTGACCAAAGGTGTCACAAGACACAGATTTAGAGAATGTAAGGGCATCATTTTCTTCAGTCTGGAAAAAAGTTTGGTCCCCTGAATAGAGGTACCATGAACCCTTGAATTAGGACTTAACGTACTTCCTGTTTTTAATTTAGGATCAGACTTGGAGTGCTCAATAATTCAAGGAGACCCTCATCTCAGTAAGGGGGGTGGCTTTGGTACTTGTTCTGTACAATGTGGTTTAATATGACTGTTGTTGTTTTTTTTTTGTTTGAGATTACAGATTTCTCTCGTATTCTTACCATGTAGTTAGGAGCAATAATCAGTAACTATTTAAAAGCCAGATGAAAGTGATAGATGTAACCAATGTTATACATCCCTTGCTGCAGTTCTTGCCTATAAACATGAAGAAGTGTGTGAAGCAGCTCATTCAGGGGGGGTGCTTAGTTAACATTGTGGTCAGTAAGAGAGGTGCTTATTCATAGAAAGGCAAGAATTCTAAGACTGCTTTATGTACAAAGAGACAGTTGTGTGAATGTGTTCTAATATTAAGAATCACCAATTAACTGTGCACATACCAGGCCAGGAAAGCAGGTCCCCCAAAATGCTGATCAAGCTCTTGTTGAGTGAGACCCACTCTCAGATATACTTTTTGCCAGATCGCTTCCTGTCCATTGAATGCCAATGGCAGATTTATGCCATTCATAGCCATCCAGTCTAATTCGCGTTCCCACCGAGTCCAATTCCACCAAACAAAAGAGTAGCTCACAGTGCATACATTCTGATAGTAGCGAAATCTGACAAAAGTAAATTGATTATGAAGATGTTATACTGGTTAGCACTTTGAGTGTGTAGAAGGTGTAATATTTCATTAATTTTTTATTTCTAATTCAATTAAATCCACATGAAAAGGAGTTTATTTCACATTCAGGCACTTATCCTTCCTTCCTTCAATGCCCCACCTCTTTCTACGTAGAAAGTATTTTAATACGGGGGAACTTTAAAATGTTTGAAAAACAAAAAGGCCAGACTATAACACCACAAAACATGGGTTCCTTAACATGCCTTGCTAACCGTTATGGAGAAGAGACTGGAGAAGAGACTGGAGATAGGGCCTACGGTTTATTGTTCTTATCCGAGAATACTGGAATATCCAACTATTTGCAGATGTAATAGCAAAGGCAACACATTCTCCCCAGTCATTTTAAGAGTGTTGGTCCGACCCGGGGCTTAAACCTTCGTACTCTCGCACGGCAGTCTGGCAGTCTACAACATGAGCTACTTTCCACTTTAATTGCTACTCAGTAATCTAAATTAGTGAGCTTATGGTCCACCAATAAAAAATTTTTGCTAACAATGTTATTAAAATGTTCGAAAACAGGTGACAAGAATTTAAGGCCCAGTTTGAAAGCTAATGAGGTGTGTCTCTTCACAGTAAGTGTCCTATAGTAACCCATGAGGAGTGGGGCTAGGCATAACACACCTGTTTGGACTGGTAACTGTAACAGGTTGTTCCACAACAGGGAAAGGTTCTGGTATCTTTAACTGATCACCACTCCAAGAGATATGAGCGTGACAGCTGTATTTGAGAAAGTGCTGAAATCCCAGAGCTGCTGCAACTCCTGTTGTTCCAGTTATCACAAGTTTTCCTTCTTTGGTATCGGAGACGTATTCAAAAGTGTCCAGATCTCGATGCGGTCCGAGACTAGAGTTCACCTTTATGACAAACTTGGAGGCGTATTTTGGAATCAGGCGAGCAATCAAGTCGCTCACTGCTTGTTCCTGCACGTCGCTTGGAGTTTTACTCTTGATGTGCGAAAATTGTTTGAATCTGGAGGTGTAGGTGTTCCATCCACAAGAAACGTGAAGAAAAATCGACGCATACGTGATGAGAACAAGAATAGATCTCATCCTTGCCATATTCGTTCCTTTCTCTTTCGTCCAGAGCTTCCTGGTTAGCGTGACACTTCAAACGTCGGACTGGCGTGGCGGCTAAGTTTAAAAGTGCGCGGCCACCAAGCCCCGGAAGAGGGAACAGCAATAATCCAAAGATGTCCTCTCGACTTTTAAGAAAGCTGCAAGGTGAAAATGAACTAGAAATATCGCATGGGGATGAAGAGGATGAAGATTATTTTAACCTTGCAGCTCCAGTCAAGTCAAAAAAGAGAGGAAAACCTGTTGTAAATCCTTTTGATTTGGTGAGTGCTACATGCATTTAATGCATCAGTTGATTTAGAAACAACGCAACGACTTTGTTTATATCTCTTTTAAGCGTTATAGATAATTTGAATGATAAATTTCGTTACTTTGTTGTTTTTTTTCTTCACTTGAGGCCTATCCATTTCTATCCAAAATCTATCCATTTATTTTCTAATTGTTTGTTAGACGATTCTTGCAAATTGGTCAGCGGTTCAAAAATTTCTTAATTCATACATGCATTTTGAATAAGTTGAAAATAACTTCATCAAAAATAACAGAAATAGCATGCCAGGAGCTTCCATTCCACATCAACTGACAAATGATTAACTTATTAGACTTACATGTTCAGAGTTAGAAGGGGAATAAAGTGATGAAAATTAACCCTTCATTAACATGTTATTTCACCTTATAATATCCATGCATTATCCTAAAACAGGTAATGAGAGAACTCAACTCCCAAGATTTGATTGTTAATTCTCCCCTCCATCTGCTAGACATTTCCTTGTACATGTACTGTAGTGGAGAGAATTTGTTTAGGTCAAAATAACAACTTTTATCAGATAAGTTTCAGTATTCTCATTACTGGTTTGCAGGATAAGCTATGGATGTTAAAGGGAGAAGTTGCATATCAATCACTTCTGGGAGTTAAAAGGGTTGAGTTAAAGATTTTGAACCTATTATAGTTATTGTAGTTTTTCTGAAGGATATTAGCAAGTTACATTTTGTGAACTACTTAAACCTCTGGTGCAAAATCCAGGATTCTTAGGTGGGGTTTCTGTGTACATGATTCCTAACAATACTAAGTTTATTGCATGCTACTGCATAATCCTTGAAATTACACTTTATTATTGCTTCCCTGTCAGTTAAATGTTGAGGATGAGCAATCTGATGAAGACTCTGAGGATGATCAAGAAGACAAAAATTTAACAGAGGCTTTGGAACATAATATAAATGAAGAGAAACCCAGCCCTGGGGAAATAGCTGAGAAACAGCTTCCTAAAAAGAAAAGGAAGAAAAAAAAGAAGAAAGGAAAAGGAGAAACAGAAAATGGAAAAGTTGTGAATGTAAGTGGATTCTGAAATTACAAATGAACTACTAGAATAAATGTGTTTAAAAAATCATTGATAAAATCAAGAATTGAATTTTCTTTGGACTATTCTCCTCCCTTCTCCCTCCCCCCTCTCCCCCTGTGTGGGCCTGTAGTGGTGCTTTTTTTGTGTGGCAGGAGAGCTTGTATTCCCAAATGACTGTGTATACTACACTGGCATGGGTCCAAATAGCTAATACATAGGGATCAACTTATCTCCAGGTGGCATCAGTAATTTATGCCCTTTGGCAAGACACTCTACCCTTACAGTGCCTCTCTCCAACCAGGAGTGTAAATGGATAATGGTGGCTATCAGGATAAACTATTGACAAAAGTGACAGGGGGGCTACACAGGAAAAAGGGGGGGAGGGGGTGGGGAGAAGCACTTTGGCTCCCAAATCCAAGTGTACATTAGGCTTGATTAAGATTTTAACCTCAAGATAAAATTGAAACTAAGGTGTGAAGATATGGCGAGGTAGATGTTGGAGATTTTAAGTGGAATCCAACATGAAATAATTTGAAACTAAGTTAATTTGCTTTTTAGTTTTTGCCATTTTAATTTTTGTACCTAAGAGTCATTGTGATTTGACTGCAACATATGAAAATACAAATTTAACCTCTGGAAGTTCAAAATAATTTCAAGCTGAATTCACTTTTGGCATTAAAATAGTCATCTGGGCTAGTTTTTTTTTTCTTTTTTTTGAAACATTATTACTCTGTTGAAAGGGAGGTAAACTGCTGTATAATGACCAAAATTACAATGACAGTGAATCAGAAAATAAGTTAACAGAAGAAAAACTTGATGTGACTGTTATTCATTAAAATTCTTTTACGTGTGGTTTCTCATCACAGAAAAGAGACAGCGCTGATGGAGCTATTACAAAAGTGAACAACCAACCAAAACATGAGGATAAAAAGTCTGGTAAAAAAATAACTATACAGAGTGTGCATGGGTAAATGTCCCATGTTTGGGATAATTTAGTGGGTTGTTTCAATCAGTCGGTGTGTTGTATTATCTTCACTTACTTCAGGGATATAATTTACATCTGATCTGGGTGATTTGTTTGATGCTTAGTTTGAAAAGTCCTTCAGAGTAATAAAATGAAGAGAACGATACACCAGCACATGTACATGTAGATCTGTATGGCATTTCTCTTTGTTCGCTGCACTCACTCATGAGATGTGGAGTGGAGTGCAAGAGGGGAAATTCCATATCTACAAGTAAGCATGTATCATTTTGTTTATTGTATAAACACCATATGCTTTTACTAACAAGGAAATTGGACAAATGAATTTGGTTTGAGAGTTGTAAACAATTACCATTTGTTCATCAACCTGACAGAGTGATAAGAAAAGCAAGTGATTTGTCAGCACCTGGTTGGTGATATAAAAAAAAATCGTAATTTTGCACATACAGTTGTGGCTTTTCTCAGGGCTGGAAATCCTTGTAAAATACCACACTTTAGGCTATAAAATTGTGTTCTTTCATTACTCTTAGCAAGAAGGCAAAACATATGCTGTAGGTTTAAATCTAATTTTTTAGTCCAATTTATTTATATATTTAACCTGTGCTCATTTTTTAATCCTTTTCAAGCAATGTGGTGTAATTTTATAAATTTTTCCTCTAACCAGGTCCAGTAACAACCTATGGAGAGAGCACCTCAAAAGTTCTGGATACAAAAGCCGTATTAAATGTAGAACACAGGTAAGGATACTGGAACTATCTTTCTTGTTGTGAGAAGCACAACCAATCAAAAGACTTCCAGAAATTTACATTTTTTACCTGAAAGTTTAGGTACAGAGTAAGTACCAAAAATTGGCCTTTTTTTCCCTCTGCTGGTGATTGTCTTAAGTACTTCACCTGTAGCTAAAATTGTAGTCTCAGTAACATTGGTTTGAAAGCTTTATTTTCCTTTGTTCTAGGATTTATATTTATTTCATTTATTTAATAATAATGGCTATTTGCCTACAAAAAAGTCATGAAGTGCCCCCCCTCCAAAAAAAACATATATATCTATATATATTTATAAAATGATAATAATAATAACTATAATAAAATATTAAAGGATAGAGTACAAGTTAAGTTTTCCTACTCTTCATGGTGACCAAAATGATTGCAGCTTGAAGTGCTGCAAGCCTCCCTTGGTACAAGTTATAATGCAATGCTGTTTTTACCCTGATTTCTCACCACTTTTTCTTGTAACTAGAAACTTAAATGCTGAGAATGAGATGAAAAGGAGATTTGGTTCTCACATTGTCAGAGCAGAACAAAGGTAAGATTGATAAGTGACAATGACAGTGATCATTACCCCAGTACCAGTACTTAAACAGTAATACAAATAAAGCCTGTTTTTTCTAGGCTTTATTTTAACTACTGCTAATGATGATTTTTTTTAAAAATAACATGTGAAGATCAGGAATTAGTTTTTTTATTACGTTTATTTTGAAATCACTGGTGATCCATGTAATCTGATTGACTCTCATTGGTGTGTTTATTCATAATTTATTCATAAATTTTGGTCTGAAATCATAGCTGTGATTTCAAATCAAACTACTAGTGCTGGGCACTCACTTGATTTTGAAATCTTGCATATAATTTCAGACAAAATTGCACTCCACTCAGTTCAATTATCATTGCTAATCAATAATTTTTTTGCAGGCAGAGAAAAGCACATCAGCGAGTTTATCATCGTTCCACAAGGTGAATTTATATGATATCTGTTATACATTTACAGGATACATTCCTTTACTTTGTGTTTTTCTTTTTGTGCAATTTATCTTTAGAATCTCTTGTAAAGATTTTTTTCACTTGATCATTTGAAACTTTCTGCAGTAGATAAGAAATAGCAGTTTTTACAGAAGTATTACAGTCTAAAGACAAATCTAACCTAAACAATTTTCAAGGGTATCTCCTACCTTCTTAATTCAGATCTAGACTATTGTCATTCTCAATGTTGTACCCTTTTTTAGAGTCTTTATTTGGTGACCTGAAACCCTAAATTGATTGCCAAAAAGAGACATTTTGTATAATTACCTAAATATTTAGCTCCTTTAAACATTGGACTTCTGCTAAGCAACCAAGGGAACCAAATAAGTCATGATACATGATATGGAGGGCTGCCCAATTTTCTCATTATGTGCATGGATGGTCTCAGTGAGTGTGTAGGAAAGGTCGTGTTGTGGCATTTAAGTTGTCATAAGTAGCCGTGGTGTGAGAAGAGTGTCAAATCATGCTTTCTTCGGTGGTAATGCTTTGAATTTGGTTTTAAATAGTTCATAAATATTGTAAGAAGTTATGTTTTTATTCCAACAGGCTGGTTACAGTGAAGTCAACATGGCCACCCATAAAAGCAACTGGTAAAAATTGAATTGTTAAATGCATATATGTTTCTTCATATTTCATGTCATGACCACTCTTATCTTTTGAATCTATTTGTTTTATATAATAAAGAATTAGAAAAAGATTTTTAATGATGACGTCATCTATACGTCTGTCCTCCAATAGATCATAAGTGAGAACCAATCAGAATGCGTGCATAACTGAGCTTTTTATATAATGTTTGATAATTTTGCTTTCACAGGAGTGAGCATGAAGCTTCTGTATACAAGACATGGGTAAGGTGCCCATTGATCACTTAGGACTGCTTTTTGAAAGGTTGGGTTGCTTGACCCAATTATATTACACTGACCTTTCACAATTCAGTTATTAACCCTTTACATCCTTAAAGTGATAAGTATCTAATTTCTCCTTGCTGTATCAGCCCTTAACCACTCATTAGGGTCACGAGAATAAAGAAAATGATTACCAATTAAAGAAGCTCTTGATTGTTAAATGAATTCTCCTTGTCAGCACCTTAGAAATATATAGAAAACAGTATGGAGAATATGCATACTGATGTTAGTGTGTAAGTAACATTAGGTCAATTGGTTTAAGCTATTTGTATTGCACAAATGTTTCTTTTTGATATTTTTTCCTCTGTACATTTATAGCTACTGCTACTTTGCATTTGAACACTCTCCATCTTATCAAGAGGTCCAGTTCTTATTTCTGGAGGCAGTGGAATCATTACATCCCAATAACATTTCTGTAAGTAAATTATTGTCACAGCTTTTAAACAAAGACAAAGTGCTCTTAAGCCATGAATCCAATTCATATTTCTAGAGGCAGTAGAGTCATTACATCCAAACCACATCTCTTTATGTGAATTATTCTATTGCACCAGTAAACAATTGTAATCTCTGCTCTTAAGCCAAATGGCCCATCCAGCAATATCTTATTCTGGTTTCTGTAGCATGAGGGATTATTACGGATTATTACAAAGGTTATTATAAAGATTATGACCAGGGTTATTACCACTTCCCCACCCACCTTACTCCAGTATCAATTGTCATGTTTCCCTGACATTTCCTCGAGAGCACTTTTAAACTCTTGTTTGGAAAGAGAGTGAAGTATTTTTGTCCAAGAACACAACACAATGATGTGGCCAGGGGCAGAAGCTGAACCCCTCAGAAGCTCAGATTCTTCTGCACCAGCCAGTAGGCCAATGCATCTCCTGCACAGCTTCAAATTAACCCTTTCACTTCCAATAGTGACCAAGACAGAATTTCTCCTTAAAATATCAATACGATCTCAAGTGAACAACTGATAAGAATATAGAAAAATATAAATTAGTGGATTATCATTTGATTGAATACTAAATTCTCCAAACTAAAACTATAAGCAGTGTTTGGCAGATAATAAGGAGAATTACTAAAGAGATCATGGGAGTGAAAGGGTTAAGCAAAATTATTTTTCAGTAATCTAGATGATGTCTGTGTTTTTATGTTTCAGGCCATTTTAAACACTCATCCATATCATATTGATTCTCTGCTGCAACTCAGTGAGATCTGCAAGATGGGAGAAGATTACCAGATGGCTGCAGAGCTGATAGGTGACTGGACAATCTTTGCTATCAGTGCCATTTTGATTCTCTCTTTTGGTTGAATTCCTATGTTGTCACTAATCATGAACAGATTATTTTTAGGTTTGCAGCCAAAAAAAAGAAAAGTTGCTGGATTGTTAGGTTGTCATTACTTTGATCAAAATGAAGTTATTTCTTTGCTAATACTCAGCAGTAGTTTTGTCAATTGGCTTGCCAAATGATTGATTGATTTCCCATAGAAAAAGAGTGAAAACATTTTTGTTCACAATTTGTGTAATTTGTTCAGGTGATAAAAAGGACAGCTTATTTCCTACACTAATTTTTATTGCTGTTTTATTATCAAATCAAAGATATTATTTCTTGTAGTGCTGCAGCTACTGCTAAGGAACAAGTCATAACTATTTTTCTTTAACTCCAACTTATTTCAGAAAGAGCACTATACTGTCTTGAAAGAAGTTTCCATACCTTGTTCAGTCTCACTAATGGGTGGTCAAGACTTGAGTATAGAAGAGCAGAAAACAGGTAAAGAGGGAAAAACTTTGTCTCATCAAGGTTAACATAAGTTTAGTGTAAAATGTGCTCTGTAGGTGTAATATCATGCAAAAGAAGGGGTACAGCAAAGCAATTCACAGTCAAGATTTTAATCTTGTTTCTTGATATAATTAACCTTACCTTTCTTTGTGTAATATAAGCATTTAAAAAGTTGTAACCTTCTTAGCTGGTTGAAGTTGTGTTCACTTTTTTTTCTGTCTTTCTGCAGATCATTCTTCATAGCTTTATTTCGCCAGATCATCTTTGTGGGCCAAAAAGGTACCTAGTATACAGAACACTTATACTTTTGCCTCATGTATTTTTCCTCCAGTGTTTTGGTATATCACATTTAATGGAGTTCAGCTCAGCTTGACTACTTTGGGCAATGATATATATCACACAATGGCAACAACAGGATTGTGATAGATTCCTTGTAACTGTCTTTACTTTTAACATTTGAGAAAAACTGTGGCTGTTTTAATTTTTTTATGATTAATGTAATTGGTTAATTGAATTTTAGGATGCTACAGGACATCACTGGAGTTATGCAAACTCTTGCTAAGGTGAGATTATTTTCAAATTTAATTAAATGTTTAGTTACTTTTTTTCGATTTTGGGTCATTACATTTTTCTCTGTTATTAAAGGTGTGTCTGGTATGTTGACTCCTGTCACTCTTAAAATCATCTTTACATTCTTTGTTAGAAGGGGGAGAGGAAATTAGACTTAGAATATGGTGAAAAACAGACCCAAAGAGAAGACTTTTAATTTTTTTATATTTTGAAGTCACTTTAAAGTTACTTCATGATTAGCATATTGTTTTTCTGAACAACCTGGCTGGTTGGCAGGACTTATACATTGAGACAACTGTAAATCCTCTACACCCTGACATCATTATGCATATCCTCTTTACTGTTGTCTTAACATTCCCAAAGGTGCTGACAAGGAGAATTTGTCGAACGATCTAAAGCTTTCTTAGTTGGTGATCATTTCCCTTATTCTCATGACCTTAATGTTTGATTCAGGGGTAATATTGTAAGGAGAAATTATTGCTAATCACTCTAAGGGTTCAAAGGGTTAATACAATGTTTAATTTTCCTTTTAGTCTAGACCCAGATGAAGATCCCCTTGGTGTTCTCCTTATGATCGATTTCTATGCGTTACAGTCAGAGCAATTTAGCTTCCTCATACGATTGTTTGAAGAGTGGGAGGTAAACAATGTACAATGAATATCTTAAAGGGATGCCCATATTGTGTGATCATATGGGTTGGAATAGTCAAAGAGCTATTTGTCGGTGGAGTGTTTTAATCTGAGTTGACAGGAACCAGAATTATGACACTCTACTCAATGCAACCTTCACTTGACTCTGATAAAGACTTTGGGAAGGTTGTGGAAACTTCAGTCAGTATAACCGATAACAGTCCTTCACAGGGCTATCCTCTAGCTTTGAAGACTGACCTTTTGGGAAGTTTATAAATGAACTTTTTTTTTCCATTACTGTGAAGCACCACGGAATATTTTTATACGAGTAGTGCGCTTCACAATTACTCCATCATTATTATTTTTATTATTTTTAACGAACGACCAGACAGCATAATCAACTGAATGAAAGGGGTACGTTTCTAAAGAAACTGTCGTGCTGTGTCAGTGGGAAGATAATTTAGTTTCATCAACTAAGTTGATATTGTAAATTGGCCACATCAGAGAGTTTGTAAAGCTGATGTTTTGAGCGTTAGTCCTTCGTCAGAGCGAATGAAAGATCAACTGTTCCTCCCAGACCTCCTGCATTCAAACCATTTACTATATTCTTCCTTTCGCTTCTGTACTCATCAGGAACTCATAAATGTTATTGTTGACAACTACTTTTATTCCTTCGTCGTGAATTTATTTGGGTTAAATTATTCTCTTTTTTTTTCAAACTTTTCAGCCTCACAGAAACTTATCCCAGTTACCAAACTTTGCTTTTTCTGTGGCTCTTGCATATTTCCAATTCAATAGAAAGCATGGCGAGACCAAGAGAGCAGATGAACTGGTAGGCTGTTGTTTCTTTTCTACATTCTGTGCAAAATAGTATTTTGGGTTACCAAGCAGTTGTTTGATCGTCAAAAACTAAGTATGAGTTTTACCAAACAATTTTACCAAGCAGATATTGAGTGGTTATACCAGTCGAAGCTCTAATTTTTGTTAATCATCACAGCTGTTGAAAGAGCACTTTTCTATGGTCATTGAAACAGTCCCTGCTTCGTCCCACTTTCACTTTCATTTCTGCCAGCAATGTTTGGCAGAGGTCTTATCAAAAGACCAAAGTAGATGGAAAACTGTTTGATGCTCGTTTATAACTTTTTCAATTTATTTTTTTGTGAAAAGAGACCGCTAATTTTAAGGGGCTTTTGTTTAGTCAACGTGCAACAGGACTTTCTTTTCCCATAATCATTCCTCCCCAGTACCGGAAAAACTGTATTCTCTCTCTCCCCCCTTCCCCCCACATTCCCTAGCACCACTTTCAAACTTCAGTCTAATTACATCTAGTACTACCAATATTTCTACGATGTTAGTTACTCTCTTGGATAGAAGATAGAAAAGAAATCGGATCGCATAGAGACCCAAAAGTTTCATTCTTTATTTTAATTGTGCAACGATGTACTATTATTTCAGCTCCAGGCGGCATTGATTATGTTCCCAATGGTATGTTCACTGCTGTCTATTTTATCAGTTTTATCGTAAATCTATCGGGTTTGTTTTTGACGAGCACAAAATTTAAATCAGAATTATGAAAATTCCAAATTTAAAGGAGTATGCTCCGTAACCCTCTCTATAACATTTACTGTGTTTTGATACTCCTAAGGGTTACTTGACAATTAAAAAAATTTCCACTATACAGTGTAAACACTCAGGTTATGGCCATGATCATTTCTGCTTTAAGAATGGTAAAAAAACGAAGGAGAAAGTTCTTTCGTGATAGTATTGAAAACTGTAGCACCTGGGTTTACTGACAAGAGTTGTCGAGCAGATTTATGCCAACTTACAGGAGCCATGTAATGGTATTTTGAGCCGTTTTTTTTCCGCACCCTATAGAAACACCTTCAACCAGTTAAAACCTTTGAATCACTAGCCCTGTAGGATAGAAAACCCGACCCAGGTATCATTTTCCGAGGAGGTACAGGATAGGCTAAACGCAGGCCGCGAAATTTTCTTAAGATGGATAGTAGCCTGTGACCCTTCGAGGCAAAAATCAAAGTCATGACAACATTGAAAAGTCAAAAGGTTTAGCGTTAGCGTTAGCGTTTTCTTTTTTTTCATTCTTATCATGTTTTTACTGACTGTAATATTTTGTTAGGTTTTATCTCCTCTCATGGAAAAGTGTAATGTTGCATTGGACTCAAGCCTCATTCAGCATCCATTTTTCTCCCCTGTCAAAGCAAACAGGTATTTCCATTGTATTCTTTAACCTTCTCACTTCCAAGATCTCACTAGGAATTCTCCTTACTGTCTGCTGTACAATTCCCATGATGTTAGTTCGGAGAATTTGGTATTGGATCAACTAATAATTTCCTAATTTTTATATTTTTCTGTATTTTCATCACTTTTTCTTCTTGGTATTGTATTGATATTATAAGAAGAAATTCTTTCTTGGTCGCTCACGGGAGTTAGATGTGATTTTTATCCCCTGCGTCAAAAAGTATGTGGTACGAATTTCCTACTTAATACGGAAGCATGACTAACCGTTCGAAATTCGTCTTCACTGTCGAATGGTCTGTCAATTGAGCTACAAAGAGCTCCTTGGCGAGCGAGGCCTTGTACTAGGTTCATGTGCGACAAACGTTTTGTATACTGTGAGGTCCAGCAATGTTAAAAGCGTCGTGTGTGAGAACAGATCGAGTGAGAAGGTAAATATTGAGTTCGCTCGTCGAATATTTAACAAATAGAGGACATAAGTCAGGGGATAAACAAAAAATCTTTATTCCGACCGGACCTCGATTCTCAATCCTTTCTAGATATCCTGTTATTGTGTGTTATTTACACGCACGGAAACTAAAAGAAGCAGCCTTCGTCACTTCCGTCACTTAGATTGAAAAATATCCTAAGAGGAAGGAAATTCAGCGTAAAAATATGCCAACAAGAGATATAGTGGACTTTTTTCAGAAAGGAAGTCCTTCTTTTATGTATTACACTATGCACAGTTGGTTTATTTTTTAATATTTGGTTTATTTTGTCTGTAGTGAGCCCCTCGCTTTAAAGCAGTTGGAGGCTCTATATGTTGGTAGGACTTACCATGCGTGGAAAGAACCTGAGGTAGGAAACACAACTGCAACACCAATTTGATACGCTCCTTATAAAATGAGACAACGGCCAAAGTCAAATGCTCTTTACGTCGGCGCTCGCAGTCAACTAGTCGAGCTGATATGTTGTAGTATCAGGATTGTTATTTACTTTGCGCTGTACTCGTGATATTTCACTTGTCAACAACTTTGATGGTTGACATGAAAATAGGTGGGTTGTTCGACCACATAGTTTCATAGATTTGCTGATAGCCTAACAATTTTTTGTTTTCTTCGTTTTCTTTCATTTAGCTTGAGTTAAAGGTGCTTAAACTTCCTCAGAAAAATCTCACATCAAAATAACCTGGTTCGTGCCCTGTCATAAAAAACTTCTTTTAAGCAAAGGAAAAGGGGCGAAACTTCTAAGAACCCTCAATATTGTTAGACCAAGGGGATAAGTTTCTAAAGGAACTGTGGTGCTGCGTCGGCGGGGCGTTTAACAAGATATTCTGGTTTAATCAGCAGAGTTGATAATGTAAATTGGCCACCGTAAAGAGTTTCTAAAGCTGACGTATCGAGAGTTAGTTCTTCGTCAGAATCAGTTAATACCCAGTAGGGAAAAATACATATTTTAGCTAAGGAAGTAATATGTACCATTTCAGGTGATCGACTGGCTCGTCTTAAATACTAGAAAAGTCATGGAAAGAGTAGAGGCTGGAGATGCTTTGGTGGAAGAGTGCAAACAAAAGTAAGTTTTGTCTTGTGTATACTTTTTGTTCTGACTAAATCGGGTTGAGTCCAAATCTTGTGCAAAGGTACTTCTCTGTGCAGTGAATGTAGAGCAATTTTCGATCTAGTGTCGAAAGTAATCCTGGACTGCTTTGGTTTTGCTATACCTCGCTCTTTGATTGGTCCAGAAAACTCGCGCCACTCTCTCAACCAATCAGATGCAAAACTAAAACAAGTCACGATTTGGTCACTCGCGTTTTCCCGCGCTTTAAACAGTTCGGTTGGTTTTACTTTGAGTTCTCATTGGCTCTCAAAGATATTTTCCTCTCTTCTGATTGGCTGTTATTATTACTTTGATTTTAGTTTTAAGACACTATCGAAAAGCGCTCGAAATGATTGATTAGTAATTGTGAGTTAAATAATTTTACGTGTCATTTATACGTGACTTTATTTTTATTACTTACAAAACAATGGTTATTTTTGTTGCTACACCTTTTAACTAGATATTGTTACTTCGATTTTGGTTTGACAACAGACTTAACGTAGACCTCTCTCATCACTTAACCCTTTAACTCCCAAGATCTGATTGTTAATTCTCCCCTCTAGCTGCTACACATTTCCTTGTAAATTGGTTACGAGAATTTGGTGTTCGATCAAGGTAATATTTTTTACCTGATGAGTTTTAGTATTCTCACTACCTGTTTCCAGAATGATGTACGGATATTATCGGGAGAAGTTACATGTCAATCACTTCTGGGGGTTAAAGGGTTAAATTTTGTAAACATCCTATAAAGCCAAAATCAGAACTACTTGTTGAATGTTAGGTTCAACTGAGCAGATATTAAGACCCAGCGTTGCGATTTCATTAATTAGTATATACTTAAACAGTGGATGGCGTTGAAGGCACGCTATAATTAGCTACTAAAACACCGAATATACTTTTCTATTCACCTCTTGGAAACTCGCACAGGATTTGCCCCCGAAATATTGTAATCGTTGCAGAAATAATTGAGTTAAAATCATTTTTTTGGCTTTATTATCTCACTGTTTTAGTATATATTAAAGCAGCTATTAACTTTCGTTATTGATTTTCAGACGACAAGTGCGTTATAAAGGAACACCCCGAAATATTTACCGGCACTTAGTCATGTCTGGTGAGTGAACTTTCCTAACCTAGAAGCAATTAGCACTTTGTTGTCAAAAATGATCCTGAATTGTCTTGGTTTTGCTTAGCTTTGCCTTGCGATTGGTCTATGAAGATCGTACCACCCTCTCAAACATTAAGATGAAAAATTGACATCATTCGCGTTTTCCGGCGCTTGAGGCAGTTGGTTTGTTACTGTTTATTTCTTAGTGACTCTGTCACATTTTCCTTTTCTTTAACTGGCCGTGTTAGCTATGGTTTTGAGTTTATAACCATCAATCGAAAATCGCACGAAGAGTCTTGAGTCATGAGTTCATAGCAAAGTGACTAAACTGTCCTTGCCTCAACAATCCTCACATCCGTCATCACGATTGCACTGTGTTACTACTTAAATGAAACGTTTTAAAGTAACTCGTGTGGAACTTAATTTGCAAACAATTTGGTGTAATCTTATTGCGTTCGACGAAGGAAGAACGCTTCCTAATCTCCTGGGCTACCTGTGATCGCGTAGGTGTCCTGTGCACGCAAGCGAAAGCTGACCCGTGTTTTTTCGTTCGATCGACCGGCCGTTCATCTTTTCAGCGCCATTTTGAATGACGTCACAATTTCGTTGCGCAAAGGATGCTGCCTCGTGCATCGCAACCATACGATATAACCAGCCTTTAAAACCTTTTCGTACACAGAGTAAATACAGGTTTCACAATACGCCATAACCCTTTATTTGACATACCATAGGCATATTCATCTATCCCAATAACCAAAAACAATATTTCCCTTTTGAAATGCCGAACGCACTTCCCTAATCTCCGATTACTACTAGTTGATATTCATATTGTGTATTTGAAATTTTGGAATTTTTTTACCTGTGACGTTACTGAAGACACCCGAGCCAAGAGAAGTGGCACCCGCGCCCGTCGAACCACTCCGGTTATAACTAAGCCCTCCACCCCTGCTTCCTGCTAATTCTTCTTATTTCATCATCGACTATTTTTAAAGGAACTGTCCAGAAGGGGGGGTATTGGATGTGCTGCATTGCATTTCAGCATATTTTATTATTACTTTAGCGAGGCGGAAGAGGGTGAAGAGTGTTATTCTTTTCGCATAGGACATCGTCAGTAAGGGGCTCGTTGAACTGGCCGATTCCGTGGTAATTGATGTGTGGAACTGCGTGGGCTTGTTCGACTTTAAGAGCTTCCTAAGATAAGCCGATGGCTTCGTTTATTGTTAAAATTTTTGTTTTTCTGCAATAGATATCAAAGATGCTGCTGTGTCACTTCCCATGGTGAGATGTTTTTAACCGTTTACACCCTAACATCAGCATGTATTTTCTCCATACTGTACTCTGTATATTTCCTATGGTACTGACAAAGAGAATTTGTTAGACAATCAAGAGCTTCTTAAGTTGGTGATCATTTCCTTTATTCTCATGACCTTAAAGTTTGTTTTAGGGGTGATACTGATAGGGGAAAATAGTTACTTATCAAAGTGGTTCTTCCACCTTTCTTAGTTATGCATGTGTAACATCAACTTAGTCTCAATAGTCCCGAGCTCCTTCTGACAAACTTCTGATTATCAATATTAAAGGGATTTATAGTCTGAAATTGTTAAATTGCTGTTTCAACTAATCAAAGCACGTTATATCGTTGTTTATTATGCATTTTTACCATCTCGCCTCAGGATTTGGCGAATGTTCCCCTAGTGTCGTATGATCCCCTGCCTCCTCGTGATTCAGTGACAGGATATTCAAGACCACCGAGGTAGCGTTTCACCTTTTTATGATTAGAAGAACTTGCGATTTCCGCTATTTTTCACTTCTTTCCCGTTTATGCATGTTAGCTTTGTGACAGAAGAGTAGTAAAAACTAAAACGTTGATTCTGGACATGGACCGCAATCAGCGATCGTCTCTTTCCTTATTTTATTGTAAGAATGTATCAGACTAGAGCGAAGGTGATACAGAATTTCTTTGAACCCAGCCAAGCGTGTTTTTACTCAGTTGACATTTTTGATGTTTGTCAGCCATCGTCCTCAAAATTAATGATATCGGTTTTACGCACTTGAATGTTTGAATGCATTGATATTGTTAGCGTCATGGATTATTCGCACACAGTCGTGACCTTAAAGTGTGCAAAAACGAGATCATCAGTTTTGAGAAAGATGGCTGACAATAACTCAAGGATAAAAAGTAGTTTAGCATGTTGAAAGAAAGCCTGAATGATTTTTTTAGGGGGCTGTTTCATTTTCTCATAAAAAGAAAAATAAATTAAATGCTAGAATTAACATCATAACTTGTGACAATTTTACAACAACCATTGAGCTTCCCATATTGAAGTTGCAAGGGCCAATTAATTTCTTCTTTGTCTTTTTTTATAGAAGGGTTGAAACTGCTGGAGAAGACTCTGGCCCTCTGTCCATGTTTTTTCGCTCGCTTCTACCTTCGTTCAGTGCTCAGACCCGTAGTGGACCACGCGTGGAAGTGAGGCTTGAGCAGCCTGTAGAGGGAGCAGAAGGTGGACCCAGACCTCTACGGGACACAGAGCTTGTACGGGGCGTGGAAAACTTGATGGTCGCTATGAGAGAATTACTAAACACCCTAAGCTACCGTGGACAGCCTGAGGAGGCTGGAGGCGAGGAAGGGGAAGATGGTAGAGAAGAGAATCATGCCGAAGATGACTGGGAGGAGGAATGGGATTAAAATTTCAGAATTATTGCTTTTCCCTGATCCTCTGAGTCGGTGAGATCTTCTAAATAGTAGTTTTAGTATACTGGTGACGAATACTGTCGGGCAAGTTGTCAAAAACCCAAGACTGCCTTTGACCATGAGGAGATTCTGCGAGAAACTTAAACGAAAATTTTCTTCATAATATGTCCATAACCTCGCCAATGGCTGCAACCGTAATGAAGGAATAATCAGTCCACGAAAGAAGTTTTGAGACCATTACGTTAAAGAAAGGAAACCATCTTTTCTTGATGAGATGTGGGAATAATACAAGATTCATATCTTAACGGCCATCATGAAATAAAAACGAATGACAAGAAGTGGTTTGTAATCAATACGATCGAGGGGAATATAACTGAATGAGACTCAGTTTTATTGTATAACGTATTTTGTACAGAGGAGGCTAGTAATGGGCCAATCAAGCCTTGTGCCCAATGTTCTGAGGCACCTTTAAAAAAACTACCGCGATTTACGCATACGGAGATTATGAACGCGCGTTATAATTCCGAATATTATTTGCGGAGAAAGTGACCGTATGTGCGATATACAAGTTTGCGTCCAAAATTGTAACTGGCGCATGTGGAAAATGGCAAACGCGGAATTCGAGACTTACTACTCCACCCGCGAACACTTTGTCGGTTGCAGGTATCCAACATCACAAAAAATGGGAAAAGGTTGTCGATTGATTTATTTAATAAAAACGCGCTTTGGGTAGAGGATTTATATTACAATTAATTGGATTAGATTATCTATGTACTGCTGAAAATGCAAGAGTTTATTTAGACCAATTTCAAATATCTCCGGGTTGTAGATACGCCCAACTGTCGTGATGTGTTACCGAGATCCTAGACGTGATGGAAAGTTATGCAAGTATTTGAACTGTCGGATACTACACGCGGATTTGCTCTTCTGAACGTAAGATAAATCGGTACAAGTCAACTCTGCTATATGTCAAATTTGTTATAACATTATCGAACCAGTCGGTTTAACTTATATAGGTATAAATTCTAAATGCTGCAAGAGTATCCATGGATCGATGTATAGCACCAGACATGACAACCTCTTTTTTCACCAGATCGGTGTATGTGAAAACTTACAGAGCGGAGATTCTCTCTTTTTGGGGTTTCAAATCGGATGTGGTTTCTATATCTTATTACTGTACCACAATGTGCCATGTGTTATGCAAAAATAAAGCGAGGTTTTTTTCTCACTATTGTTGCACAATTTCAGTTCTTACTCTATGTACTATTACCCAATTATTTCCCATAATCAGGTGCGGCAATATTGCTTTTGTTTTCTCTAAAGACCCGGACGGAGAATTATCACAACATTACATTGAACTAGGATCTGAGGGACGATTTCATCCATCGAGCAACCGTCTTTCTGAACTGTGTTCTATTATCTTCATTTTTGTGTAAGATTATTGGATTCTTTCCCAACGGAAACAGATCACCGCCTTAAACGAGGCGAAATTATTTTTCCATATCTATTCACAACAGGCTTTAGTCACGGGTTAAAAAAACCCGTACTTTTCATAGAAATCAATTACAGTTCTAATCGACGATCCGACCCCGAGAATGGTTACATCTATCCCGAAACATAGCAAAAGGATATGAACAACAATTTGACGCAAATGTAACTGCTTGTATCTTAGCTCAAACTACAGGACACACGGGAAGATGGTCTCCAAAAAAAGGCCCCAATGAACTTCCCGAAAATACCACAATAACGTAAAAACTTGGGAGTAACATGGCCACTGCGATCGTCATCGAAACAAGTGTGACTCGCACAATTTACTTTAAGAGGCTTGCTATTTTAGCACTCTGAAGATGTGTGGTCGCGTAAATTGGTTAAATTATGATCCCGCCTATACTCGTCCTATCCTCTATCCCGCTTTTGAAAGCATATCCCGCTCTCGCCTTCCTATTTTCATCTCGCATTCCGCATTTTAAATTTCTCGTATCCCACATCCCGTCCCGCCCCGATTTTAAGCCGCATTCCGCATTCCGCATTCCGCATCCCGCCAAACCCATGTTCGACCCTCTTTGGATAGGTTCCGGGGGAAGTTTGTTTCTAACAGCTTCGAGAGATGCAAATAAAGAAAAAAGTAACTTTGTCACAGCGCTTACATCATATGCTGAAGCGAATGCCTCGGCAAACTTTTCTTTCTTTGCCATACTACCCTCTATGGAAGGAAAAATCACTTTTGCGGCACTACTATACATTATGACGGTGAACGAATTGATGGTTCCGACACTGTTCTCAAATAAGAGAGTATCAAAATTCTACTCGTGCCTATTTTCTCCTTCACACCATACGACACTTACTACACTTACTACACTTACTACACTGTTTTGTGATATGCGACAGAGAATATGAACGTTTGAAGCTTTGACAAGAGTGCCGTTTTGGAACATAAGGGAGCGTTTATTTGCACTAGTTGAAATAAAAAGCTATATCGCGTACTTAACATTTCCTACTGTAAAAGGTAGTATGGCATAGACAGCAAAGTTTGGTCGTGTATTAGCATTTGCATATCTCTTAAGCGCTCTAACGAAACTGTGTTTTTCTTTGTTTGCATTTCTTTCCTGCGGTGTAAACACTAATGAATTTGCCGTCAACAATCTTCCCCCGAGGCCTTCTCATGTCACTATTTTCTTAGTGGTATGTTTCGGGCTGGCTGTAGCAGTACTTTTTTGCGGGATCGCTTGTGAAACTCTGCGAACAGTCAAGCATAGATGCAAAAGGAAAGGAGATTAAGTAGAGATATTTTGGACGATAAGCTGATGACATGTTGATATGACAGTAAAGGGGTTTATAAACTGATCGTCGGTCAGTCGACAGATCGGTCGGCTATCGGTCGATGAACGTTTACTAGTCACTCGACAAGTCGTTCCGTCGACTGATACATCGGTAGAGGCTACCTATGGTTTACATGATCGTAATACTGCACGAGAGTTTCAACCGCGGTGAAAGTTTCGACTGTGGTGGAAGATGCGGCTAAACTGGAAAATTTGCAAAACAAAAAAGGGCCCTGAAGGGACTGTTGTATCCTAGAAATAAGTGGCAAAGATTGTGGGCGTAAATGCCTAAAGCGTAAAAGCTAAATTAATATGATTGATCTGACGAAGAAGTGAGTCGCGTCAGAACTAACCAGCGATCCGGCGAGCTCGACCGTGTAGCAGCGTAAGATTCTGTGTTTTGAACAAATGAGCGCTTCCCCGCAAAAGGAATGTATGATATCAGGTTACATAGATACAAAGCCAATTTTCAGTTTAGGAACACATTTAGTGATGAAGAAAGATTTAGTGATATAGAAAAACTAAGTGATCTTTTAGATAATTGTGATTTTTTTTTTCGCTGCCTTTATTTTTTCCTTTTATTAAGGACATTGATCTGTATGTTTTTTCATTCATTAGTTTATCTATTCATTTATTTTTGGGAAAAAATTAAAAATATTGGAAGAGACCCAATCCTTGGCCCGCTCCTTCCTTACAATTGCCCCTGACGTAATTCCATTTGCTTTTACATTAATATTCAGATACTGTACACAGCAATTTTTTTTTTTACGTCTGTATCATTCATCTTTTTAATCTTTTTGTAGTTTGTCTAGATTTTCTGGCATCTGATCTTAACTGAGGCGTGCTGATGGCAAAATTTATTTCTGAAATGTCGATTAAAATCTGTCAACTGTAGATGTATGTTTTTGCAGAAATGAACTTCATTAGCATAACAGTCGTAAACACAAAACAGCTTAGGGCTTTGTTTGTTGTATGGGGATAATTACCTCATTTCGGCACCGTTTAAAAGCCTTGACGCTGTTTAATTACCCTTCTTGTGTATATTTGCCCTCAAAACCTGTTCCAGTATTCTTTTGGTAGTCTCTTGGGACACAACGTTACGCTAGATCTCCTGGAATGTAGTGTTCAGCTGGTTAATCTTTAAAATCGTTTCACTCGCGAGTCGTGTTCCTTCGTCACGATAGTGACCTCACGGTAACATAATCGCATCACTGCATCACAGCATGAGCTAAGATCGTCTGAAGTATTTCACGGATTTCTCAGAAGTTACGTGATCGAGTAGTTAGATCAATCGACTACTAGAGCGGCGGTATTCAAAACAACCTTGTAACGAAGGTAAGTAAACTTATCTATAAGGAATGCGGTCGCCACTATTTGTGTTTGAATGATAGCAATCTTTTCAGGTTATCTGTGTTTTATATGCATAGCGTAAACGATTGTGAACCTTTGAAGTTTTCAAACATGAAGCTTCAAAACCCTGGCGATGTCGAAAATTTAAAATGGGACATACGAAACAGCGCTCAATACGTGAATTTTGCTTTGTTTTCAAAGTGACAAGAGCAAAGAAAGTAATTGTACACTATTACAATGTAGAACGCTTCACTACGCCAGTTGAGAGAAGGTTTTAATTGATATCCTTCTAAATCAGAATTGAAAGGTCAGACACAGATATAAAAACCGAGAATTCATGACAAATAATCCGAATATCGTCGTAATACTTCTTCGTGAGAGAAACCTGAGCACTTAATCCTGATATGTATTCAACGTAATGTTCAATCTTCGACGTAAATCTCGATATAACCAGACTTAAGCAATTGTACTTCTCTTAGCAGGTATGGGTTAAATTCTAACCAAAACAACCATACTTGTTAAAAATAGCTTTCTGCAAGATTGGTATTTAATTTCCAAGGGTAGAAGGACATCTGCCGGTTAATTCGAGAGCAAAACCCGCCTTCCTGAAAAGCCCAAGAGTGCGATTAAGTAAAAACATAAGAACGCATTAGCATTTAAATTACCTATCTTTTTTTCCCATCCGAAAACAGTGCAACATGTCATTAATGAAGGCAAGTCGTAAGATTTGCATGTTGTGTTTGGCCGAAATAATGTTTTTTCACTCTAGCAGACGAGCAGAGTGCTACTGTTACTCAGGCAAATGATTCATGCTGTGTACAATTCACATATGTAGCATTTCAGTCGAGAAAATGTATTTACATTGTAAAAAGAAATATGTTTCGATTCGTTTACATGTAAGCCGACTGTCCCAAAAAGTTACAAAAGGCCACTAATTAAAACGATCAATGGTGCAGTTTTGACATTTTGATAAGCTTAATGTATTTTCTCTGTAAATTTGTTCTCTGTCTCAAATTATTTCAAGAAAAGGAAAACCGTTTGGTACTGTAAAACTCATAAGTCTTAACCAGTCTGACATTATTCGTACTTCAGCCAGGAAAATTATTTTATCCTCAGGCCATAGGAAAGCCTCAAGGATCTTCGTTGTCCTTGTTATTCCTAGGTACTCTTTCATCAAATTGCCTATTCCTAAGTTACATACAATCTGTTGACTATCGCCTTTGTTACCTTCGATTGCCTTACACTTACACAAATTACCATATTTATTTTAGTGTTAAATTCAACGAAAACAAATATCAGACGTCGTCTCCTTCTCCATTGTTACTTTTGCCGACTGAGCTTTTTTCTAAATCACTCAAGGTTAGCTCTGTTTTTTCGTCTTTTGTTTTAATTTTTCAGCTGCTTAGGTTTTCCGGCGCAGTATTTACAAGCGACTTTGAGGCCTGTTTCATAGGTGAAGGGACGCGAAGAGCGTGGGTGATAAATCGAAGGGGAAAAACGAGGTACTGTAAATAACATTAAAGCCTTAGAAGACATGGTTAATAAGCCATTTAATTCGGGAAATGACTCGTAGTCAAGCGGAATGGCTTCTAAACACTGGCAATTGTAAAGAGTCTTTCAGTTTTTTGTAAGTTCTAACGTACACTTAAAAGAAAACAAAAGGGTAAATTTTCATTTTTCTGCGAAAGTTTAGTAGAATTGGCGATAATCACATGTAATGTGAGTTTTTAGTAGCAAAAACAACCTAAAATTTTTGTTCCCGAATACATATACAGTCCACTGAGTTGACCAATCACAGTGCGCGTTGTGAGAGATACAATAAACCCTTATCGATCTCGTGCTGTAACCAAAACAACTCTACTAAGTGTGAAATATGTTTTTCTTTTCTTATTTAAAGAGGCTCTTTACTTCAAGAATAGTTTAGAGTTGAAGATGTGTGATGGTCTTACTAGGCTGTTAAAAATGCCAGTCGGAAATGAATGTTAAGCTTACCTTTAGGTCACGAATTAGTGATTATTAAGAGAGAGTTTGAAAATGACTTAATCCCCAAATGTTCATTTCTCAGAAATAAGTTCGTTGATGTGGTCGTACTGATATACTGTCATTTAATTTCTGTGAGGTCTGTTTATATTTTACTTCATCAACCTCACTTGTTTATGTTTGTGAATCGTCGACAATAACCTTTTTTTGGTGTCTTAAAAAAACTGCCATGTGATATTTCATCAGCATCATCTGTAATGAGTAAAAATAACGTAAGCTCTTTAAGGTAGGGTTTTATCTTCGAGTGCTGTTAGAATTAATTCTCGTGTGCGCACTTAAGACTGCTCGTATTTCAGTTTACGCAAATTCCAAGAGGAGATGGTACTGCTCCAAATACTGGGATGCATTGTTATAAATCAAAAGCACAGAATGTATTCCGTGATGCTTCAAGACACTTTCTGTTAAATATTTAACGTACAACCGCACTAAAAAAAAATCGCGCGTACCACATTAAGTAACCTTCCTTGGAGCGCCATTGATTACTACGATTCTAAACTTGAATCCCCGAAAAGATCATGTCCACCCCCCTCCCCCTTGAGGAAGATCACTAAAAAATGTTCCTAACTCAAAAAGTCATTTACAGTGACTCAAAACCCTCCTCTTCTCTCACAAAATCTCTTACACACTGCGAAAAAGAGGAAGCCAATGTGCTTGAAAGCTAAAGCTAAAGCACACATCCTTAGGATAAATTGCTTTCATAAATCATTCAAAAAAATTTTTTTAAAACTTTTTTCCCGCAGGAGACATGTCTTTTAAATTCAATAAAAAGGCCGTGGTAACTGGCGTGAGCTCAGTAGAAGCAGACAAGTTCTTAGTGTACGCCCAAACAGTGAAGAAAGTCTCATCAGAAAATAGCTGTGCGCTGGACAGGAATATTTTTTGTGTCGACGTTGGGGCGGCGGCATTAAAAAAACAATCGAAAAAGGAACGAAAATGGTTAGAAGAGGAATTGGAAAATGCTAAAATAACTGCTGGGGTCATTATAACGGTGAACGGAAAAGAGAGATACGTCAAGACAGAGGTACGCTATGACAGGATCACGTAGGGCAGTGATGCATTTTTATTTTGAAGCGTCGTAAGGAAGGAGGCTGATATGCAAGGTGTTTTGTAGTTAAGCCTGCAAACTGAATGGTGAAGGCAATCGGTAGTTCTTCGCCCTTATTTCAGTTGTTCGGTTGACTGTGAATTGACTTGGCACTTGTTTTTGGCACTCTGGCTCACTGTTATCGAGAACGACAAACTCTCTTAAATTTCAGCACCCTCTTTTCAATTGCAATGTCTCTTTCGCACCTATTTTGTCAGTCGTAGTGTCACACAACATAGGCATCGTTGCGTGACGGGCCATGAAGCGGGCGCGAAGGGGGATATCGTTTAGTTGCTCTAATGAAGTAATGATTAAGTCGCGGTGTAAAGCGAAATAGCAAGAATTACATAAGTGCACGACTGTTGCCTGACGTCGGCGCGGTAAAAAAAACTCTTATTATGAGATCGTTTAAAAAGATTCGAATGCCTACAGAAATTGTATTCACGTAACCCTTCTTTTTGTCCTTACTATAGGTGGAGAATATAGATCACCTGAGACTACTCTGTTCTCAAGCTTTCCAGCTATTCTGTCCAGCTTTTGGGTCAGTTTCAGACAACGAGATCTTCAACACATCATATCCAACGGCCTCAATTGACCAGGCGCGCCGTCTGGTGTGTGCAGAACAGCCGGTACCCAATTTACGCTGGGTGCAGTGTAAAAACGTTTCATTAACTTATAATCAAACCAAGGGTATTAAAGAAGCCACCCTTTTGGCTGTTGACATCGTCCATATGGAGCGCGCCGGAAAACTGGTCTCAACTTCGGTTCAACAAACTGTCACCGCTAAGCTTAACTGCAAAACGTTCTTATCAAAAGTGGACCCTAAAAGTCCCGGCCCCTTTAGTTTTAGCCCCGCTCTTGCCTTGGTAAAGATGGTGGACGAGGATGTACCCGCCCCACAACCCCGATCGTGGGCAGAGATTGAAACTCTTCTCATCCATTAACTAACTGACTTTTTGTTTAAGGGGGGAGGGGGAAAGGCGCACCTGTTGACGTGAATAAGAAAAATGGCACAAAAATTGGTGCAGTTTCATTATAAATATCTTAAATTTTGTGAAAACGGCGTCCTTCCAAAATTCCAAATTCCAAGTATTTTGTGCATTTTGACCTAATTTCTTTGATTTACCATCTCAATCTCAAAATGTATCTCACTTTTCCGGTATATTGAACGTAATTCATTTTATACTTGGTGAACATTTTTAAAACAATGGAGGAAAAGTGTGATTAACTAATCAAATAAAGTGACATAACTTAAATTTTGACCCAAATGTCCCTTTGTTCAAAGGGGATTCCCACCAACATACCAGATTCATTTACGCCGGTGAACCGCTGAGAAAACACGTACAGTGTTCACTTGATGAGTCAAGAAGGCTTGCACACACAAATGTAAATACCTCTTACTAACCGAGTTTGAGGTCCGTTTTGTAAGTTAAGGACCGATTTTTTTTCCGGTCTAATTTATCCCTCAAGAGCGGTGTCGCTTAATGCAGGTTCGAATGTAAGTTTGGGAAATTTTGAACGTCGCTGTCTGTAAGCGATACGAATTTTTCCGTGTTTTTTTAGCGGCCATAATCCCAGAAAATTCGACAAACGAAAGCTTTCAACCTGACCGAATGGCGCGAAAGGCGAGTGACGTGTCAGCAGCTGATTGGCGATACCAAACACACGTAAACAATTATCGTGATTCTTCACATGTGCTGTTACGGCTTTTCTCAGGGCTGGAAATCCTTGAGAAACACCGTACTTTATTTGATAAACAATGGTTACAAAACTCATTCACTCTAACATTTTGAGGGCTAAAGAATAGAGTAAAAAGGATTCATACAAAAGTGGAAACCAGTCGGACAGAAGACAAAATATTTTCTTTTTATCAACTGAGTTGATAACGTAAACTGACCACCGTAAAGTGTTTGTAAGCTAATGTTCGCTTTGGCAAACTGACACGCGCAGCACCACAATTTCTTTTGAAACTTTCCCCCTTTGACAGAAGGCTAAGCCTGTTAAAAATTCATCTCTAGGAAACAAATTCTTACACAATGTACGTGTATCTTCGTTTAATTGTATAAGGCGACTTGATCACATCTGAATAGGTAGCCGAATTTTCCAGAGTCCATTAATACATGTTTTCGTTTCTTGAACGATTCTGTGAGTTGGTTGCGTATTGTCTTTCTCTTTGTCACGGTGTTTTACACTGTAAAGTGTTTGAATCCACCTACTCTAAACAAAGGCAGATATTTAGATTCCAAAGCTGTAGATTAAGAGCTCAGTGCCTCGTTGCCTTCCTCAGGAACCATACATTGCCTACAGAATGGCGCAAGGAGTTCTGAGAAATTGGATTTTAACGTTGCCAATGATGACGATGAAACGCCTCGTGCAAATTTTTCAGCAGAAAAGAAACTTACATTCTTCAGCCCTGAGTAGGCTTAGTAGATAGGGAATGACTTGCTTTCTTTAAGTTAAACCCATGTTTGAAACTGGGGACTTTTGATACGACATCGAGATCCTCTAACTTCCTCTTGTTAAAGAAGGTGGCTTTAATCGCTATCCCGAGTGTATAGGAGAAAAAAATACTCAACCACTTATAAGAATCATTTAAAAAATGAAAACATAAGTCAACCTGAGGACTTCTGTGACGACTTTGATAAAAGCTGTCGAAAGATCACATGAATTAAGTCACAGTATGAATAACGTCTGTAATAAGGTAAAATGGGCGGCTCTTTTAAGAAGAGAAACATGTCATGTATGCCCAACGTTTAGCTAATGTTTCCTCAGAATATCAGTAAAATATGCAGTGAAATATCGATCTGCTTAATACGTGCAAAATAAATTTTCTCTTATTCAACACTGAAAGTTTCTCTACATTAATCAAACGTGAAGAACGTTGTTGCTCAATTCAAAGGAAGAGACGAAAGAGAGGAAAAGTCACCCTTCGTCGAATATTGGAGATTTAATTAATCTAATCACCCATGAGAGCATACGCAGTGAGGACTACCTTAAAGGTGAGTTACCACTTTTAATAGGCCATTATACAGTTGTGTATTTAGTTGCCAAGCCTTTGACTTGGAGTGAAACTGAAGGTGACCTTGTTGTGATAGAGACCAGTATCTAGTTAGCATGATAACAAAGTAATTTGCATTTGAAAAGCAGCAAGGTAAACAAGGTCAACCTTAGCCTCACTCCTGTTCAAAGGCTTAGCAACCTAGCATGCAACTGTAAAATGAACTATTGCCAAATTTCAATCATGTTTTTATTCTACCACATGACCACTTATAGGGGGAATTACTTTCATGATGTTTTTTGTAAAATTAATCACCTCTTAAATGTCTCAACGCTGGAAAATTGTAACGTTTAGTTTTAACTGTAACCTGTGGAACCGATCCAGAAATGTCCTTTTTCAAATAGTAGACGTCTTTGGTCTTCAGGGCCATATATCTGCTGGTTCCTTTAGTGGGACTAATCAGTATACATTGCCTCATTCCCTGCTGTTGCAATCTGTAATTAGACAAAAGAAAATGTATCAACCTTGGTGCATACGTTTAATACAAACAAAGAACCAAGTCAATTTAAGTAATATCTAATCTAAAACCGTATGAACAAACTACATCCTGGCAGTGATCCATTCTTAACATGGCATTGCCACATTTCAATTTCGAGTCAAAGCTTCTTCAGTCTGGATTAGAGCTCAAATTCAACACCTATCAAAGTATCACCTTTAATATCTAAATAAATGTTGGCGTATGTCTGGTTATTAGTAAATTCTTAAAAACAGACAAAGATATGACCTCAGTAACGCTCCTTCTACCCAAGTAACAATTTGCACAGGACATACCTGATTTCCTTGAGCAAGTGTCACTCTTGTCTCCAACTGCTGCACCGCATTCTGGGCATTCGCCTTCTACGTTACTGGGATGCCCGTTCGGACACTTGTGCCACAGTCCTTGGTAGAAGTTCATTGGCCTGAAAATTTTAATTCGCTCTTCTGCAGGCAGACTTTCCAAACCACATTCTTCTCGGATCTCGTTTATTGTATCTTCAATGTGATCATAAGCTTCTTTCCCAAGCTTTTGGCCAGCGTCCAGCTTCCTGCCCAGTGTCTTCAGCCACTTTTCTTGGTCAGATGCGACAGTAATGGAACCTTCTTCGATTTTACACTGAATCACTCGAATGTTCAGCGAGAAACTCACACATACGAGTTCATCCCGTATATCAACCAGCCTCTGATAAGAAACTTGAAACTTCATTAGATCTTCTTCTAAATGATCAAGTGCTTCATCAATGTCTCTTGCTGCTTGTAAGAACACATCATCTGAGTGGCTTGCACTGGGTGGTGTTAGTACTCCATAATGAGTTTTTTTCAAAAGATCCAGCTTCATTCTCTCTCTTATCTTGTATATTTGGATCAGTATCTTCATCTGATTCTTAATTGTGCTTAGCTCGGCCATAGTTTTCCTTTGCTGTAGCCAACCCATCAAAATATCGTAACTTGAGGAGCTGAACATTTGCTCGTCATTGTGTTTTCTCTCCAATGAAGATTTCCGTTGCCGACTGATATCGGGATACTTTCGTTTAAGAGAGAAAGCTACTGTTTTCAACTTTTTGGTCAACTGCTGATAGTTTTCCTCTTCCAGGTTCATTCGTGCTTTAATCTTTTCGATACTAGCCAACTTTTCTTTAACGATATCAGCATACCGGTAGCTAATCCTGATGGGAGTCTGGCAGATGGGGCATTGCTTCAATTTAATATCGTCACTTCCACTATCCTTGTCCATCCAGTAATCCATTGCTGTAACTTCAACCACGTGTTCACAGTCTGACAACTCAATGAATCTTGCATTTTTGTCTTGCTCAGTTCCAAAGTGCAACTGGGTAACTTCATCTTTATGGCAAATTCGGCACAACTTCGGGCAAGGTTCTCCGCAAATACCAATGCACGAGTGGCTACATCTAAGCTTCTTCCTGCATGACTCGTTACACCGAGGACGGTTGCATTTCTCGCCACAAAGCTTCGTGCATTTGAAGTGAGGGCAAACCCAGGCACAGCGTTCCTAAAAATGATAAAGAACTACCATAAATGATAATGCTCAGAGGAGCACATGACGGAAACTCAGGGAAACCCACGACGTATTTAGTAACGTGACTTGGGTACATTACCTAAAGTCACACCATCAAGCTAAATCGGCAGGAAGAAATTGCAGGCATCTAGGGTCGATTTTAAGGCTGTGTGCTAGGATCAGCAATGTCGATAGCGTAATGTTTTTGACAGAAAAGTAGAGATGGTAAGTTTTGAGCTCGGTGAAGAATTAAGAAACATTTTTTTTTTTTGACATTGCTGATCCTAGCAGTATGCAGGACGCGTGTCATTAGAACTTCGTAATAGACCCCGCTCACCGAAGAGTCTTCGTGGCTCAGTGGTAGAGCATCGGAGCGCAAATCCGAAGATCTGAGGTTCGATTCTTCATGGGGACTCAGAACTTTTTCTTTGTCCCACGCTCGTGACAAGACGAAAAAACATCTATCTTAATTAAGAAACTATTAAAAATGTTATAAGCCTTAATCAGCTACCTTGGTTCAGAGAGGGAGATTTCAAATAAAATTACCTCATTTGCATACAGTTTTCATTGTACTTACCCTGCACGGTGCGCAAGCTTCCATACACTGTCTAGGACATCGGCTATGGTAACATCGATTTTCGCATTTCTCAGGACATGGCGGGCAGTTCGTTGTGCAAGGCTCTTTGCAGGGGTGAAGGCAAACCCTTCTTCTATCACATTCGGCCTCACAAGGAACGTGAATTCGTCCTTGCTTGCATTTGCGGCAGTTTCCAACGCAGGGGTGACCACAGTCCAAAGTTGCACGACAAGGCTCTTCGCATTGCGCATATTCTGAAACCTCCCAGCAAGGCTTTTCAATTTCATGACCACATTCAAATCTCTTCTTGACAATTTTCTCACACTGGAAAAGTGCACATTCCTCCCAGCATTTTCCAGGGCACAGATGACGACATGGCAGATAGTTCCAACACTTCTTCTGGCACTTAAATGTCTCCACAGATATTCCGCATGGCACAAGTTGTTGATGTCCACATTTAGGGATCTTCTTTTCCACTTCTACAGGGCACACTAGGCAAACCTCGCCAAAGTGGCACTTTTTGCTGCACTTAGTTTGATGCTCTGAACAGACCTCGGTTGAACAATCTTTCTGGCATTTGTACAGGGCATGGTCACTGTCATCAGGATGACACACCCTTGTGCAACTGTGACCGCAGGGAAGTCGAAACTTGCAAGGCAATGTACATCCACCCTCTGGTGCTGACTTGAAGTCGTCTGCAACCCTCGCGTGGATTTTTCGATCGGGGTGTTTACTGCAAACCAACTCTAATGCTTCCCCTATGGCATTATGATCTTTCATATCTTGGGCAATTCTCTTCCAAAGTTCACTTTTTTCAGCCAGCAAGGAGAAGTTGCCGATGCAATAAAAACCTTTCCGAGCTCGAGACAGGGCCACGCACACCCGATTCTTAACTGCAAGGAAGCCAATTTTCCTCTGCTTGTTAGATCTAACCAAGGAAAGCAGAATTATTTCATTCTCTTCGCCTTGAAAATTATCAACAGCCGTGACTCTCACTCCCTCAAATCTATCTTTCGGCATTGTCCTTTGTAG